ATTTTCTTCCTTTAGGGTTTTTCATTTACTTGGTAGGAAGGGACAGAGAATGTCAGGGAGGGGCGAGGGAGTAAGACAAACCCCTCCTGGTACCTGACACAGCACACCAGGGGGAGGGTGTGAGCACAGGCGTGTGTGGCACAAGGCCCTGCAGGACATGCCGGGAGACTGGGCTTCTATCCTCTGAGCGAGAGCAGTCACTGAAGGACTCTGAGGAGCGCGGCATGATGGGATTTGTGCTTTAGTGGCAGTAAGAGAGGAAGGAGCAGTGGGGCCGGGGGGCAGGGAGGGGGGCTGGCGGGCCAGCAGCGAGAGTGACGCCGGAGAAAAGAGAGTCTGTCTGAAATACATTATTCACAAGGTAACCAAATGCGGTGGGCATGCTCAGAAATTTTCCAAAAAAAAAAAGAATTATCATATGACAATTCCACTTCTGGGTATATTCCCCAAAGCAGTAAAAGCAGGGCCTCGAGACACTGGAACACTCCTGGTCACAGCAGCATTATTCACGAGGACCGAAAGCTGGAAGCAACCCCAGTGTCCATCAGTGGATGACTGGATCAATGAAACGTGGCCTACACATACCGAGGACTATTATTCAGCTTCAGAGGGAAGGGGCATTCGGGCATACATGCCACAACACGGATGAGCTTGAGGACATCATGTTGGGAAATAAGCCAGTCACAGAAGGAGAAATACCACGTGAGGACTCTCGAGGAGTCAAACGCCTCGACACAGAAAGCAGAATTATACCGGGGGAGGGAAACGGGGGTTAGCGTTCCCTGGGGACAGAGCTTTGGTGGATGGATGGTGGTGAAGGGACACCATGTGAAGGAACTTAATGCCCCTGAAGAGAACACTGGCTGAGATGGTTAAGTTTTATGTTATGTGAAAACTCGTGTGGCGTCACCACCAGCCCTGGGTTCTGGCATTGGTCACGTGCCCCCCGTGGCAAGTGTACGAGTTGGGCTATCACCAGGACCGCCGGGAGAAACTCTCCAGCGCCATCATGCATGGTCACTTGGGTTGTGAAGAGAGGGAAAAGCTGAATCGCTTAGCTGGAGTGGCATAAGACGGGATGTTGTGAATTGGCCTCGTCAGAAAAATAAACACTACTGATATTCCTGTTTACTTTTTGTGACCAAGACTAAGTAAACGAAGAGAGAAAAGTGACAAGTTTTACAAGTTGAGACAGCAGGAAAGGAAAATCCCGTGGATTTACTAAGAGATTAAAGATAATTACGCGGTGTCGACTTCAGCAGTACATCCGTACGTGATCCCCAGGGGAGCACGGGAGACCCATGCCTGGCAGTCCCGGCAGCGTGTCAGACTCACCGGGCGCAGACGCAGTCTCCACGTCTAGGCCCCAGCCCCAGAGTCTGATGTAACACAGATGGTATAAACCGCAAACACAGGTGAGAATGGGTGAGCGGGAGAATTTGCTGAATCCTTATTCTACCTTCATGTGCTCGGTGTCCGTGTAACTGTGGCTGGAGATGCCGTGAAGAAGGTGGAATGACAGCCAGAGCGAGGCAGGGATGGAACATCAAACACATATGCCGCCGGTCTGCAAAGACTGTTTCCCCAGCAGCCTGCCTCTGTGGGCCTTTCCCACGAGACAGAAAGCATTTTCAACAGGATAGTGTTCACACTGGAAACTAGTTTCACACATAAAACGATCTCCTTGGAAAACAAATCGAGCAATTACATGTCTTGTTCATTTTAAGTAAGTTGTATTTTTAACCTCTCCCTACACCACTCAGTTTAACAGAAAATAAGAGAGAGACCTATTGCTTACAAATTCCAAGTACTCTCATTGTCCAACAGATTTCCATGGTAGCAATGCTGAAAAACCACCACGTGAACCTGGGCAGTGCTCACGGTGAGTACTGGGGCCTTCTCAGATGATGTATTGATTATACTCACAGTCACAGCACAATCTTTAAAATATCATTCACAACCAAACAGACATCTGACCTTAATAGGCATGATTTTTACATCTGAAATTCATGGAAATTTAAGTTTTTTAGACTGGGGAATTATGAAAAAATTATTGAGGCAATAAAGCTGAGAAAATTCTGGAATCAGAAATTAGTAAATGTGCCTCCCGCTTGGGAGATCAGAACAGTAAAGATCGAAGAAGGCATTCAAGAAACTATCTAGAGACAGATACATAATGACAACTCCCTAACTTTCACTAGTCTGGAAGTATGTGAAAGGCAAGACAACCTGCTTTCTGGGATGGTCAAGAGGAGATGCACCAGTGATGGGCACCAAGTTCTTGGAGAGAAGGGGCCACACGTAACTCCTCACTGCATATCCTTCAAGCCCAGCCTGGGGCCCAAAATGAGATGTCTGGTAGCAGACGCACGTGCGTAACAGGTGTCAACAGCCCCGCACACACCAATATACGAGCAATATAGTGGCATGCACTCTTTTCCAAGTAAGAGCAAGAAGAAGGGTTGTGGGCTGAGCTGAAGCCAATCTAGATCTCCTGCTTCCCAAGGTGGCAGTGGCCTCTTGCTCCCTAAGTCTTTGTGTCTTTTTCTTGGGCTTCATTCCCAGATCCTCATCCTATTTGACGAAGGTCTCTTCTCCTAGGTGGAGACCCTGGTCTGATTTCCTGGACTTGAACATGGACAGGACACTCTGGCAGAGGCCTGTCACAGAGCCCCAAAACTTCCCCTCCTCTAATCTATAGCCCAGGTCCTAACACTGTAAGCAAACAATCTTAAGAGATTCTTTGCATTATAGGAAAAATAAAAATGCAAGAAAAAAGTTAAAAATGGAGAAGGTTTCTGAGCCCCCATCTACAACAGGCTTTACTGAATGAAGATATACCCTCTTATTAAAGAAAGAGCATGATGGGGTTTCTCAGGGGCAAGGAGTAACTTCTCAGGTGCTAGAGTGTCACAGAATAAGAGACAAAAGGCCCAGGCAATAAATTGCTACTTAAACCTAAAACCCAGCAAAAACTCAACCTCCATAAGAACTTTTCAGGACAAAGTCAAGTGGGATAAATACATAGTTCTTTCCTCTTGGCTAGCCTGCAATTGTGAACACCAGGAAGCAAAGAACACACCATGGGGAAGGCACATATAAAAAGAAATCTTTCAGAACAAGTGTTGTTTGTAGCATGCTTAAGCTCACCAGGGCTGCTCTGTGTGAGAAACTCGAGGGGAGAAGTTGTACTTTAGTTTCAACTCCAACTCAAGGACTTAAATATATTATGCAACTTTGGAAGTGCTCTGGCAATGGGCTGGCCCAGTGCAGACCCCTATTGGGACTGAAGGGCCACAGCGGGGGGGGGTGGGGGGGTGGGGGGGGTATCCACTGCTGCTCTAAACTCACAGACAGCTTCGCCAGGAATGAAAGCCCACACCTCGGCTTTTGGCCAAAATTGGAAAATTCTCTTTCTGTTTGGATCCCTGGAGAAATGATAGCTGAATTCTTCTAATTTCTTACTGGGGTGACATTCAGGTCACATTTAGGCCCTGAGGGATCTGGACCAGGGTTGTGCCCATAATTAATGAGGTGAGCTAATCAGTAACTGTATCCTGTGCAGCCTCATTGAGCTCAATGCAATGAGCTCAATGCACCTCCGTAGCCAGAGGAAGGGCCCCGAGACAGGTCATGAAGAATGCAAAGAGAGCACAGATGACAAATGGAGGGAGTGACCAGAATATTCCAAAATTAATAGAAAAGAACAGGAATATGGCAGAGTAGAGTGATCTTCTCTCAGGAAAACAAACTGCATCTCCCCAGATCTGGAAGAGTGTGCCATCTGCCAGTGTTGCAGAGAAATGAAGACTGTGACATAATATGGTTCAAAGCAGATAAACTCTACACATTCTGCACTTTTCTAGAAGCTATAAATGACCAATGTTTCTCAAAAGGGCTTAAAGTCTCAAATTTGCTTTTCACGGAGATAAAACCAGCACTGTCTAACAGAAATGTCAAGCAAGCTGCATACGCAATTTAAAATTTTCTAAGTAGCCACAGTTTCAAAAAGTAAACAGGAAATGAAGACATTAATTATAACATTTTATTTAACTCTATGAACTCTATTAGCATTTCAACCTATCATGGCTCTAAAACAGTTACATGTGGTTTTTCAGGTAGGTCTTCAAATCTAGCAGTGTCTGACACCCCGCAGAGCACCTCAGTTCCAACGGGCCACATCTGAAGTGCCCAGCAGCCACATTTGTCCGGCGGCTGCCACGCTGGACACTGTGGACAAACATGCCCTCGTACTATCGCCAGGAGCCCATTGCTGACCCATCTAGACACACACGGAAAAGCAGTCTTGCCACAGTTACCTTTAAATAGAAGAACCACCAAGGAATGCCAAATGCTGTTTGGTTCAAACGGCCTGTCATTTCAGGGGAAAAGTGCTTCTTTCAGAAGTCCCTGTTGTCAGAGTCACGGCACAGCCGCGGCCTTCCCCCCACCCTGAGCCCTGCCCAACCCGCCACCCTCTCCCTCGGGGCCAGCTCCAATGCGACGCCGCCTGGGGAGCCCGGGCACTTGGGCGAGTTCTGAGATACTTTACAGGAGAGAGAGGAGGCGTGGCTAAGCTCAGGGCCTGCATGCTTGATTTCCTGGGATTAACACTAACAAAATAAAAAATCCACAACGTGAAAACCTCATGAAGGAGAAGCTGAATACGATCCCACCTCCCCTACCTGCTTTCATCCCCTGGAGGAGAATGGCACCTTCTTCCTTCTTTGTGTTCTCCATTTATGAAGGACACTGGCCCAAGAAGAACAGCCCCCTTTTCATTCTCCAAACGGATACGATTTTGGGAAATGAGGCAATCATCATTTCTGAGCAACATGTGCAATCCTTGTTTCCACTGCAGTTCTTGATGGGATTAGAAAGGCCCAGAGCCACGGTGAGAACGGCCTGAGGCACACAGGACAAGGCTGCAAAGAAACAGGGCCAGAAGCACCAGGGTCATTCCCAGTGGGCACTAGCCAGCCGTGCCTCAGGATTCCTACCTTTGTGGTTGAAGATGCCCTCCATTTCCATGCTACTTCTCGAGTGGGCGATGCACAGAGAGCCGCAGGGAACCAGGCCTTCTGCAGCGGGGGACCGGTCGGTGGTCCGCACCAGACACCAGTCAGGCTTGTCGTGGGGCCGTTCCAAAACCTCCACGGTCTGGCCCCGGCGGATGGTCAGCTCTGTGCTGTTGCAGGCGGTGAAGTCGTGGATCACCACTGTCAGCTCGCAGCCACCAGAGAGCTGGGGAGGGAGAGGGACACGTCAGCGAGGCCCAGTCACTGCCCCGGCGGCGGGGAGGCCGACCTGGGCCAGCAACGTCCTGCCCCCGCCTGAGTCAGGGCTCTCCAGTCTCACTACCCCCTCGTTTCCCTTCGGAATTATGTGGGCAGTTACGGACCTTTTGGGGTTTTAATATATGGTTATGATTTCTGAGGGTTTCGCGGTCAGAACCTGATACAATTTTTCATAGGAGCGTCCACATCATTTTGTGCCTGAGACATTATTGCTCAAAATGTGCTATAATAATCATTTTTAAACACAGGGCTAACTAGTAAAACCTGTTTCAAGGCTACTTGGGGGATCCCTGCACCACAGGGTGATGACATGACAGTTTTATTCAAAATTTCACTTCCGACTTGGCGCTGGAGCATCCCGTGCTATTATCGTGAGGGCTCTCGGGCACCACCTGGGTCCAACACGGAGCAGCCACAGAGCAGGGAGACCGAAGGGGCCGCGAGACCCCACATACGGGCAGAGCATGACTTACTCTCTCTGCGAAACCCTGCAAGAGCGCCTCCCCAGGTGTCCCTCCAGGACACCTCTTAGTGGACGCTCCCCGCCAATCCTTTGCAGGCCCCCTGCCCACGCTGTGCTTCAGCATGCCAGCCCATATGCTCTACGGACACTGGCTTCTTTCCCATACGCTACGTGTTTCTGGCCTGAAGCTCCTTTCCCTTCTTCTCTCCTCTCACTAAGCTCACTCCCATTTTCTGTCCATTAAAACTCTACTAATGCTTAGGCCCTTCGAAGCGAATCCATGAACTCCAGAAAGATACATCCACGCCATGATCTCTGCTTATAAAACAGGTGTGTGGCCTTCTCGTGGCCACTTGCTTACTGTGGCCTGTACCCCATATGTCTGCCCCTCAGACTGTTCACACCATGGGGACAGCTCATAATCACACACACTAACATCGGTCCTCCACGAGATGTTGTGAACCAGCTCCCCGTCTTTGGATTGTCCCCTCCGGCTCTTCAATCCAGGTAGCCCGGTGGCTCCAGCTCTGTGCCCCGATATGGCTCTGTAACCACACACTCTACGCTGAGGACTCCCCCCCAAGCAGACATCCCAGATGACAGCTAGACACGGTTGCCCTCACCGTTGTGGACATTTCCCTCCAAAGCAGTCAGCCCAGGACATGACTCATTACCCACCTCCCCAATTTGTTTATCTTCCAGTGGTGCCTTTTGGATAATGATATCACAATTAAGTCACCCAAGTTAAAAACTCTTGCTCTCCAAATGCCACCAAACAGACCTAAGGCAGGCCCTCGGATTACCTCCTTCCTCTGCCCTGCCATGCCACACGTCATGTGGATCTTACGGTGGCCTCCCGGCGGCCTCTCTACCATACTCCATGGAGGCTCACTTTCCAAGCCAGGGGAGCACTGCTGGCAGTTGCCTTTGTGAAATGTGAAGCCTCCATTCGAGCACCTCAGGCCTCAACTGCCGAGCATGGGATTCAAAGCTCCCACAGCCAGGTCCCAGCCCGCCCTGCCAGGCATGTTCGCTGGCTTCTCCTCACGTGACCCACAGCCTGGAGTATGTCTTCTCTGAGGTGCATCCTGCCTGCACTGTGTGCAGGAGGTCCTGTCTGCTCAGAGCCCCCTCGTCTTCGCTTTGTCTATTTTAAGCTCTGCCCACCCATCAAAGCTCTCTTAGAGGGCGCCTGGGTGGCTCAGTCGTTAGGCGTCTGCCTTCGGCTCAGGTCATGATCCCGGGGTCCTGGGATCGAGCCCCGCATCGGGCTCCCTGCTCGGCGGGAAGCCTGCTTCTCCCTCTCCCACTCCCCCCTGCTTGTGTTCCCTCTCTCCTCGTCTCTCTCTCTGTCAAATAAATAAATAAAATCTTAAAAAAAAAAAAAAAGCTCTCTTAGAAGTTGCTCCTGCATCTACCTTAGCACTGAGTGTTTAAATAAATTGTCACGATTCTGAAATGAGCCATGTCTTGGGTTATGTATGTGTGTGCCCTCAGCACCAGCAAACAGGCTTGTTGTTTTTCTGTGAACCTTCCATGCCTGGTCCGTGAGGGGAGAGATGGGGCCCGTCCTGGTCACCGCTGAGCCCCAGTGCCCACAGCGGCAGGTACGGAGTCCGTACGAGGCAGCGTTGATAGGCTGAACGCCCAGCTCGCCCAGTGCTTTGCATCCAGCAGCAGTCCAACATTTGCGGAAGTGAAAAAGGCCAAATAGGCTTGCTCTAAAAATGAAGGCACTGCATTTGAAAAACCGAAATAGAACGTGACTTCAGGAGCTACCTCTGCCTATGTTCAATGTGCCACATGCCCGGGCTTCTGTCCCCCTGCACGGCAGGAGAGCAGGCGGGCTGGGCTGTGGCCCATGGGTGGAAGGGCGGGCCAGACCCCATGCTGGGAAGCAGCCTCGTTCCAGAGGCCTCGCAGCTCCCCCGCGCTCACAGAGACCTGGGAATCCATGCCTCCCGCACAGGCTCAGGGCCCCCCGTCATGCCCCATGCTATTCATTATCCTCCTGTTCTAACAGCCTCTCTTTGGAGAGAAAGTTAGATATTTACAATAAGAAACACATGTCCACAAGACAACCACAGAAAGCAAAACACAACAAAACTCTTCCATAATAAAGCACAGATATCAACAAGACGAACTGTCTTTGCTAGGCCACAAAGGAAATTACTCACAAATGTTTAATCCCCTTCTAAATGGTATAAATTCCTCTGTGGGAAACCCATGCTAAATCTTACACGTGTCTCCGTGAACAATCGAAGATGCTAACGTTAAAAAGCTAAAGGCAGAGGCCCAGGCTGGAGAATTTTCCTTGTAAAACCCCACATTATAGAAGTGGTTAATCCCTGTAACAAAAAGGAGGAATGTTTCCTGTCCCAGGGAAGGTGTGACCAGTGAAGGAGCCGCAGTATGGAGTCCAGCGTGCTGAGGCCCCGCAGGGTCCATACTTCCTACGGCCCCCTTCAGGCCCCCTTCAGCTCTCCCACAGCCACCAGTGACCTGCCTGTGCATGTGGGTGCGCAGCGCGTCGCCCCCTTCCCAGAGCCCCAAGCCACCAGCCCCTCACGCCGCCTGGACGTTTCTCCACCCCCCACCCTGGGAAGCACAACTTCAAGACACATTATCTCATCACCAGCCCTTTGCTGGCTTCATTCTTGAGCGTTTTATTAATTTCTCAGACTGCTCAAAGCCACGTGGTGCATTCTGCGGGTGGGGGAAGGGTGGGAAGGAGAGAAAGGGGCTGCCCAAGAAGAAGCGGAGCGTTAAGCTCGACTTTATTTCTGGCACTGATGCCTTAGCCCCTTACAGAGTAATCAAAAACTATTGGAAACATCTGTGGACTTGACCGAGCATAAGAAATAAAAATCAAGGCTGTTCTGACAAAGAATCTCACACTGAGTTAAAATTCTTTTTCAAAGACTTTAGAGAACTTACTAACAGAATCTAGTACAAGAATCTGTTTTCAAACAGTGCTAAAATTATCGTTACAAAACACTGTATCTGTTTGGCTTTACCATGAGAATCTCCTTCACAAATCTTTAAGGGGAGGACTAAAAGGATGTTTTCTAAGGCACAGAAGTCCTGCGGATTTCTGTCTCAATGTTCACATCTGAATATTTTAAACTTACTACAAAACCTGCCTTTAAAACCAGTTTGCCAACTTAAAAAAAAAAAAAACTTTGAAAAATAAAAGACTTAAAGTAACTATTTTGAGGAAGCAATGCAAATCATTACTGCCTTTTAGGAACTGAATTCCTAAGGAGAAAAAGTTCAGATAACAGACGTCATGAAGTGTGACCGAGATTGTATCTGTTTTCAATGCTACTTCCATCACCAGTGACCCAATTTCATTACTGTGTTGAGTTACCATTCCACTGATCTAGTTTACAACTCACTTCTCTCTTCCAAGCGTACCTTGAGAACATTTTCACACAGGACCCTTGTTCACTTCTGTGGGTTTTATGGACTTCTATCAGGGGCTCCTTACCACATGCACATAGTTTAGGATTGCAATTGATGAAAATCTCAGTTTCCATGACTCACGTTAACTCTTGTGAAATTCACATCAGAAGACAGTCCTTCCCTCCACCCCCAATCTTTCTGCTTTTCTCCTTTAAAAAACAACTGTGATGACTAAAAACCACGGCCGTGAACGCGCCTTAGCGCACAGACGATGGAAACCAGCCATGAAATGCCTCCTGCAGGACCAGACCACCTTGTGTCCCTTGAAGAGGGCTCCCAGGGGAACTCCAATGATCCAATGACTCGATCAGCGGAATCAAACCAGGGTCCCTCTGCCTGAATTCTCTCCAGAAAGACTGAATGTGAACAAGCTGTGGGCTTTCACCCAAAAGAATGAAATACTCATCTCCGATCACTGGCATGCTGAATCTTCACCACACAGAACAGAATTTTACTTTTTATGTTTTCTGGAGAAACCACATTATACTGTTGCTTTGCCTGAACCCAGTTAATGGTGGTGACTAAACTGTTTTAGTCCCCACGGCTGGGGAATTCTCAGCCCACCACTCCTCAGAGCATCCCCTCCCTGGTGCATGACAACGAGGCAGTCTGATGTTGCCAGAACACAGAGTCTGACAGCAAAGAGCTGACGGCACTCCCAGGTGAGCTGTGCGGCAGGTTCTGCTGGAGGAAGAGCAGGCTCTTCACAACAGCCATGGTGGACGATGCAGCCCCTGCTGCAAATGATTCTACTTCAAGAACCGAAGATCAACTGCAGGTGGGTGTCTGGCCAATTTTCTGAGAGCAATTCAAAAGGAAAGCGGCACTGTGGTCTAATAAAAGCCATTTTCCCCCAAAGAACAAAGTGTATCAACTCTGTGAACAGTCCCATCCTACAGCCCAGTACGGTTCAGTCATTCAGAAACCTCACAAAAGAGTCTTGCGGTTTTGTGGAGGTTTCACACAGAGCGGACCAAAGACTGGTTGCTTGGTTCAGGGGATGAGAGAGTACAGCTCCATTACCGGCAATGCTTCCAAGAGGGAGGCCGCCTCTGGCAGCCAGAGAGCTCCTCAAGGAAATGCATCCCACCCCAGGCTCTCACCCACCCAGGCTTCTCACTGCGCAACTTCACGGAGGCGTGGGCCGCAGAGCCCACGCTCATCCCGACCCTGACGCCATGGGAGAAGCCTTCACCAAAATCTGCTGCTGAGTTTCAGGGAGGGTCACTGTCATGGGCTCTCACACATCGAGGGTACAGAAAGAAATCTGTGAGAACTGAACAAATGGTTAATAGGGTAATTTTTACATGGTTTTTACTATACACACACACGCAAAAGAAATCTGTGAGAGAATTTTTCTTTTTTTTCCAAAAGCACCAGCTTACCATACCCAACATTTTATCCAGAAAAGAAATACTGAGTGTGGTATTCAGGGACGTTAATTCTTCACTCTTTACTGACGTGATCACGCACTGATTTGAAAATAATCACGCACGTTTTCTGATATGAAAATAATTCTTGGAACCAAGGCCTCCTTGACTGTGTGATTGATATACATGAGGTGGAATGGAAAATTAGATGTAAAAAAACCCAATTTAAAAGCCACAACTAAAAAGGCAAATTTAAATGTACAAAGTCAGGCTAACTGGAGACAGGACAGCGATATGTATCAGGCTTCAAGGCTTCACAGACACTGACCTGTGCCAACATCTCATTTCCCCTCGCTCACATACTAGAACGAGAAATGCTAGCACCTGCTGAACAGGCATGGGGGCGGGGGGGGAATGAACGAGCACAGGGGGTTCATGCCGAAAAAGGCGCAAGAGCTGGAAAGTAGACAGCTGACCACCACCATTACCTTAAGTCATCTGGCCCTGGAAAACAGGAAGCTTTGTAAGACACTTTAACCCACAGAAACCTGTTTGCTGAGTTTCCTGAGTGAGCAAGACCATCCTTCATCCAGAAAAGGTAACGTGAAAAATGACTCTTTGTCTTTGATGGAGGGATACCAATGCAAAGAGCTAAGGAATGACAGCCAGTTAGCCAGCTGACTGGGCTTCTCGCCAGAAGGAAGAACAACTAGAATAAACCTCCAGCCTCAAGTCCAAATCAAAACTATGTCATGACCTTCAATAGTACTGTACTGATCAGTACTGTAAAATTTACATTAAAAGCACTTTTCAGTGTACCACTATTTTAATAAACACTCTTGTTACATTTCTACCCAAATTTTGTATTAAAAAAAAAAAATCTGTCTTTGCTTAGAACTGAGGCTTTCTGGGGCGCCTGGGTGGCTCAGTCGTTAAGTGTCTGCCTTCGGCTCAGGTCATGATCCCAGGGTCCTGGGATCGAGCCCCGCGTCAGGCTCCCTGCTCTGCGGGAGGCCTGCTTCTCCCTCTCCCACTCCCCCTGCTTGTGTTCCCTCTCTCACTGTGTCTCTCTCTGTCAAATAAATAAATAAAAATCTTTAAAAAAAAAAAAAAAAAGAACTGAGGCTTTCTGGGGCGCCTGGGTGGGTCAGTCGGTTAAGCATCTGACTCTTGATCTCAGGTCAGGGTCTTGATCTCAGGGTCCTGAGTTCAGGCCCCACACTGGGCTCCATGCCAGGCATGGAGCCTACTGAAAAAAAATGGAAAAGAAAAAGAACTGAGGCTCTCTAGCGTGGGCAATTCTGTTTTTCTGATTAACTAAAATTATCAAAGACTACATTCCACTTTGTGGTTTTATGAAAGCACTTAAAAAACTTGTCAAAAATTACAAAAAACCACAGCCACTAAGGAAAATTGAAAACAAAGATTAGCAAAAGGAAGAAACAAACACCAGGTGTGCTCCATCACCCAGGCTGCTGGTGGGGGCAGGGGCCTTGTCTCCCTGTTCATTCCTGTGCTGAAGCACCTGTCCTGGGCTGGATCACAGTGGGTGATCGACAAAGATGGGTGACATCTGTGAAGAGCATGCAGTCCTTTTATGTGCCTGTGGCCACAATGCAGCTAATTCCGTAGGGTTAAAGATGAGTGTGTGTTGGGGGGGGTGGGAAATGTTTTGAGCAGGAATCCCCCCTCTTCTTCATTGACCCCCCCCATTCAGTATGGGGTAGTTTACTGTCGAGCCCCCACAATGCTTACGTCCAGGCACTAACACTGAGCAATTTATTCTTAGGGCAGCTTCTAGCTCCTAACAAACACAGCTCCAAATCCACTGCAGTCAAGAGCGGGCAAATAGGAGGACAGAGAGGCCGACACAGAGAGTGATCGGCAACAGCTAGCAGTGAATATCAACAGTCCAGGAATGAGGGAGAAGGCAGCACTTTTAACGATGAAGACATAGCAATAGCTATTCATTAAGTGCTCAGTACATGCTAGGCACTGTTCTCAGCACATTACACATTTTCAATATTCACAGCCCCATGAGCTGAGTAGTTAAGTATTGTCCCCAGTTACAGATGAGGAGACTGAGGCACAGACAGGTGAGCTAACTGCCCAAGGCTGCTAAGGAGCAGAGCCCAGAGGTCTGGCTGGCGAGCACTTCCTTGTTCCTAAGCATCTGCTATGTGATGTAACCACTCTGTCACACTCTGAGCAAGTCTGGGGTATTCTGTCTGGGGAGACTAAAACTCTGTCCTGGAGAAAGGCTTCTGAATTAAAGCACTCGCTGTCATGCCCACACAGGGGCACACCTACGTGAGGTCCTAGGAGACTGAGAGCTCTGGCAAGGCCAACAGCTTGAGCTCCTCCTAAGAGCCAAGGCACCCTCTTGCTTCCAGCACTTTCGGCCAGCAGGAGAGCTCGGAAGGCAAGCTGCGGAGCTCAGAACCAGGGTTCATGTGGCTCCTGGCAGGGCTGCTCTGTGCCAGGTGCGCAAGGGGGGCTGGAAGGAAGCAGGTGGTATTTCCTAAGTAGGCTCAACACAGGTTTCCGCTCTCAAAACGTGAATTTGGCCCCATTTTAAAATGTGTACACTACAATTTACATAAATCCAAGTTCCTGTCGTTAGAATGTCACTTCATAGAGAAAGTTGGTTGACTTTTTAACTGCATAAAATCGCCTATCCCCAATATAGTGCTATATAGACTTCATTAAGAGTAACTGAAACCACTTCCTCTTTTAAATATGTGGATTCATATATTCACATTTTAAGCTTAGGGCAGTTCATGCCAAGTATCAGTCTCAGTTGAATTTCTCATTCAGTAAAAATAAGAACTGCTTTACCTTCGATGTAAAAGAAAGCTCACACTGGCCCCCGAAGGCTTGGGTCAGCTTGCCCACAGGCCCCCTCATCTTGCTTTGGCAATTCATCTTGACCCCAAGATGCTTTGTTCTAGAGTAGCCTATATTTGATTCCTGTATTTTCTATTTTCTTTATAAGTTTTTGTTATGTAAAATGAACCATAGACTAATAAGGCAAACAGAAGGGAAAAGGTTAAAAATGCTTCTTTAATACACTAAAATATTTAGCTCCATATCCAGCACTAATGTGAAATAATAAGGTCTAGACTCTAGCAGGTAATTAAATCCACATTTTGTTCCTGGCTTTAGCTTTCCGCTGCTGGGTGGCCCTGTGAGGGTCATCAGACCTCCCTCATCTCCTCAGTGTCCTGAAGGCTGGCTCAGCATTCTCCTCCCTACCTCAGGGAGACAAGCTCAGGACAAATGAGATAAGAATTTGGCAACAATTTGATTTCTTTGGAATCCAAATTATATTTTCATAAGATCATTTTATCAGCGTTAAGTACCATGAATATGGGCAAGAATCGCTGCTAAACTTACTTTTGGAACAAGGAGATGGCATATTTTAAACCTGATGTTTTCAAAGAAAGAAATGTGCTCATGAGGCATGTGGTTTGTATCTGTGACATGCCTATTCAGCTCTGCAAACAGTGCTCCCTGGAAAGAGGGCGTCTCCAGCAGCCCCTCCTCAACAGACTCTTCCAGAAACATCCTATGTGCCTCATCGAGAATTACTACAGCACTGGGCAGATAACTTTTCCTTACGAATTCTCCAAGAGGCCGAGTCAAAAACATCCCCCCACCCAGTTTCTGAAATGAAACCAAAGTCCTTGATAACAACTAACTCATAACCAGGCATCATATATTAAGTCCAACAGGCAGAATATGGTTAAGTAATTTCCCTCACCAGATCTATCTGCCTGTGTCATCAGAGGCTGCTTAAACCTGAAATATGCGGGGTGGAAAGAACCCTGAGACAAGAAAAGTTACTGCCATCAGAGAGAAGGGGGTTTTCTGGCTAAGCCTAGTTCAGTCAAACAGTGCGTTTTACAAGCTAACTCGAAAAAGGATGCAGTTGCCTAATTTTCAAAATGTATTTTCCTGACTCGTCTACAACCCTGAAATATCTACTAGAAGTATAAAACGGGGAGAAAGCAACAGGAGAACCCTCCGGAAGCAGAGAACACAGACATACTGGCATTCATGTGGTAGCAAACACATCCTTTCTCTCACATAAGGCCAAATGGGAATGTCCTCTCCAAACTCCAGATTTTATCATCATGAAATACCACATGCTATTTATTCTCATCCTAAATACAGACCCCAAGAACTGAAGAAGGTAACTAGCTGCAGTTCTACGGTCTTAGGAAGACAGTTCATCCCTTTTTGGTACTTTTGAGCTTATCAAGCACCTATGATCTCAGTGAGGGATCTTTAAGGAAATACATGCCAGGTCCACTTAAAAAACGAGTTCTGGAGTGTCATTACTTCCAGATGGCTAGGAATCACGGGAACGTCAGGCTGGGAGCTGCCGGCGAGAGAGCCTCTGTACAGCGCGGGTGGAGGGGCTGTATCTGCAGAAGTGGTCCTCAGGGAGTTCTGAGCTACACACCGAAGTTTAGAGATCATGCACTAGATGAGGGAAGCAGAAAATGGTGAATTACCTCCACAGGTAGAAGATTCAGTAGATAGTTCTTTAAAAAGCCTAACACCCTGGTAGACTCGCAGGGTAAGATGGTTAATTCCTGCAAACCTATACTTTTCTGGTAGTGATTCGTTCCTCCTCTCTCACTGGGGACAAACAGAATTTGCTATCATACTAGCTTTAGGATAATGCCTCATTTTTCTATAGGACTCGTGCAGGCCTGCGTCCAAGTTCACATAAGCCTATCCTACTACAACAGATCCGAAGCACAACTAGTTACACTCTTCCTAACTCCAGGATAGAGTCTTATTTCTGTGAACTGCAGTCAGCCACACCTCAGGGGATGAGGGCTCGGACAGAGTACGAGTGCAGAAATATTCCACGGGCCAGAAAGCACAGCACGCAGCGGACCAACTCCATCTGAGTGGGAAAAGGAGTCAGAGCCCCTTACCAGACACAGGGGGCATTTCCAAACCACCACTGACACCCACCCATTTACACATATACCACCTGAAAAAACAGTCACCCTTTCTTTTTGGACCAACCTCCAGGAAAGTCTTAACACACGTTTCAAAAGGCAAAACATACCTTTCAAAAGGCAAAACCTTTTACAGGTATTTATCTGTTTGGCAATTTCATTCGAATACCTTATTTCTAGAAAGTAAACTTTAAAACTCATTTCTAGAGTAAGCCCAGACCAGATCCATGAAGAGTGTATCCGGAAGAACGTGCACTTGTTAGCCTGATGGGCCGATCGATGGTCAGAGTGGGGATGCTCACCGGCGAGTCTGTGAGGGGTGAAGGAAGGTGGCCGCTCCCCTCAACCTGAGCTACTGTTATTTCCTTCAGGTGGGAGTCTTGCGTAAACGGACTGCTTAGAGAACTCAGGCACCTCGATTTTTTTTAAAGAAAATAGTCTAACGAAATGTTTCCAAGTTCAAACTTTATTTTCTCAACTAAATGGCTATGGGGCGGGACGGCAGCAGACACAGCTATAGCATACCAGATGCCTGACGTCTCATCTCTCTTCTTCCTCATTACTACCACTGGCAAGACATATTTGCCACTGGGCTCTGAACAAAATAAAATGAGACACTGTTTTTCTTCTCCATCCTATTACTCTGACCATTCTAAGTTCTAGGACTCACAATTCAGTGAACTCAAAAAATTGAATAGAAAAAAACAAATGACTCAAACCCGGAGGATTTTGAAAAAGAAATCGTTGTAGGGGAGCAATACTTTTAAACGCACTCACTTCTCTCTTGGAAACTGCATTACACGCCATGAATCCTCTGCAAAATCGCGTGAGAAAAAGCCCCCCATCTGGGCCACTGGGACTTGCCATCGGAAACAGTCCCTGATACTGGACCCTCTCCTAGGTCAGCAGTCGCTTCCAAAGGACGGTGAAGTCAGGACACTTCCTGGCTACAAACGAGGGGCTGTGCAAACACCGGGCAAAGAACAGACTCCCGCGTCCCCCCATCGGGACGAATGTCTCACATAAGGAAGTACAGCCTACATCACACAGTAGGAAACGCAGGAATTCTGAACTGCTGGCACATTAAGTAAAACCCCTATTTACTATCAAATAACCTTTTTGGAGAACTTGGTCTAGCAGTTTAGAAACAGGACACGTGCTCACCTCAGCGGGAACGGAAGACTTATTTAGCTGACGTGAACGTCCCCCCACTGGCTTTTACAGATGACTCTGGTGATCTGTGCCTCACCTTAGCCTGGATTCCAAATTCTCCCGTCGATTTCTTTTGTTGGTTTTGGGATTCCATCAGGACAGATCATGAGATACTCTACCCCTCGGCTGTTTTCTGATAGCGTTTCCTGCGTCCTGCCACACCTACGTTCTGAGGCGGAGCCGCAGGGCCCACCTGAGGATGCCGGCGCCCCTGCCGAATCACAGCAGCTCCACTTTTCTCATCGGGGCTCCGTGAAGCATTTAACCTAAAATGACTGGTTCTTCTGCTTCATGTAAAATTACAAAGCTTAAACACCTGCCCTAGAACACCCTGAGAGAAAACCTGTAATGACACTGGGAAGGGCAGGCAATTTTTCCTGAATCCTCAGACTTTACCCCTGACACCCCCACCTTTTTGTCCTTGCTCTGCTTCTGGCACCACTCAGCACATAGCGACTGTTTGGAAATGTTGGTGACAAACTGTCATTTATAGATAGAAACAGGCTGCTTCTTATCGGATCCAAGACTAGCTATTACCACCCCCCCGCCCCGCCAAAGAAAGTGCTGGTTACAGCTCACCTTATCACTGTCCAGTGTGTTCTGAGACGTCCGTGAGGCGATGGAAATTGTGTCCGGCTGGCTGCTCCCATCGCCCTGGCTATCCAGGTCCTCTCCATCCCTGAAGAAGCAAACAAACTGTTCATTCCTGACCCTGCCGGATTTCTCAAGACGAGTGGAGAGCCCCTGTCGGCCGCTGGAGGCCGATTTGTTCAAAGAGGCGCAAATCCGTCTGCGTGACGCTGCCCAACCAGCATGGCGTGAGCGGGGACAGGAGGCCACTCTTGGCTACGCGGTGGCTGCCTGTTGCACGCCGGGCGGCGTGTCCAACGTGTGTCCTCCGTGTACGCGCACAGTGGGAAGACACAGTTGTGGTAATTTCCAGCTCAGAAACAAGAAACATGAACGTCTAAGATATGATACAGCTTGTCCCGGTCCCACGCACGACCTATATATGTGTCCAGACTCACACTTGCAATGAGAAAGGGCAACAGAAAGGGATGTGCATACTTCATTTACTTTAAGCCGAAGGAGGTTCCCGTCTTAACAAAGCAATTTCACTGCTAAGAATGATGTTATTTATAAACTGTATTAAAAAAATAGTCCTCAAAATATTTAAGAAAAATGATCTTTGAAAAACAGTAAGTTAACAGTGCCTTGTTCCCTCCCTACTAAATAAACAAACCTCCTCCCAAATCCCCAGCACTTACCTCCTTCCCTTCTGCCTCGTGGCCGGCGCCGTCTTGGGGATGTGAATGGGCTCCTTCAGGGCTCCCTTCAGGTGAATAGTCCTTTCCTGTATTACTTCACGGATGTGCTTTATCCAGTCCTGCTTGTTTTCTATACTGGAAGCCTTAATGAGGCGTGAGAGTCAGTCAGGATACAGAAGCAGCCCTTTCCAGAACCCACACTAACCATACTCAGGTCTCCCACATTCCTTGTTTCCCATTTTCAAAATAACTTTACAGCAACCACATCCCATGTTTAATTTGCCATTTTGAATATTTTTCAGTCAAAACCATTTTTATTTTATAGCATATATGTTACTCCAGATCTCTGAATATTTTAATAATCAATCATTCCCCAGCCCCCAAACCTTTTAAGCAGCTCTGGGTAAATGTGACAGTGCAGCCAATCCCAAGCCCAAGTGTCTCTGAAGCTATTTCGGCAAAGACCAGTGGTCAGCGGTTCCCAGCCACCTGCGCTTGTGCCCACATCTTGCTGCCTCATCCGCTGCACTCTGGAAACTACGGCTGCAGATGCCACCGTGCCCCCACCTGCCCCTGTGTTCACTCCCACAGCACTCCATGGAGTCAGGGCCCCCTTATCCTTGTGTCAGAAATGTGCCCGAGGCCACCCGGCGGGCACGGGAAGCAGCTGGAATTCTCAGGCTGGCACCGGACGGACACCATCCACGTGGAAGACAGAGCCCGTCCTCCCAAGCTCTGCTTTCCCCTACCTCTGGTTATACCCGTAGCATAAACCGGTTAACCTACTGCCCATTACAGACAGTGGGTTTACCTCAACTTCATTACAACTTTCGAGAAATATTTTCTGAAAATGATACACAGTAGATATTTAATAAGCATTTGTTGAATGAACACATAAGGCAGCACTCTTTCCAGATTTTTTTCCTTTCACTTGGCCTCAGAGGAGGTTTCTTCTTTCTTTTTGCATGTTCTAGGCCTTAGTAACAGTTTTTAATTTCCTTGTGGAAAACATCAACCTCCTATGACATAAGCATAATTCCCTGTAAATGACTGAAACAGTCGTCAGAGGGATTACAGCTGAGATCCTGACCGAGAGTGAGCATTTTCTCATGGTGCACCTTGTCTTCCAAAACAGAAAGTCAAGGCCCATGTTGGGAAAGGAAATGAAAATTGAGAATCTTTTTCCTACGTAAAATGTTTTAACTGGAGGATGTATCTTTAAAGTCACGTAGGACTAGGAACAGGGAACTAAATGAAGGATAAAAGGAGCCTCTTGTCCCCAAACCTGAGACCGGGACAGCAGTAACCCAAGTTCTTCTGGGGCCAGAGGCAGGGATCAGGGACTAGGGGAGTCCGTGCAGGAAACAGAGGTGTCTCACAATGCAAAACTTTGAAAACTGCAGATCTATTGGCATTTAAATGCCTGATACAAACGTTCAGGTTAAACCAAGAGAAGCATCTGAGAAAGAACATTTGGCAGAGTTTAGAAGACAACTGAGGGAAACTGTTACTATGGTTCAGAATAAATGCAATTCTCATGATTTAATAGAGTGAAGTGATCATTGCATTTATGGAGAGGAATTCTCCTGACCTTAAGGAAATTGAACAAGGAAAACAGGTGCCAATTTTTCACAAACAGTAAGAGAAACGTAAGCTACCTAAATACTGAATAAAAGGTCCCACTTGTCTAAGAGATGGGAATAGTTTGTTTCGGACTCTTGGTAGTCTCTGTCTGTTTAAGGAAGGATTTAGAAATCAAGCTCTCCCTTCCAGAGGACAACATAAAAAAGACCACAGCTTTGTTTTATAACTACCAGGCCATCAGTATCATTGTCATTACCACCAGTACCTCATCCTCTGCCATCATCAGCTCCACCAGCACCGCTTTCTCCCCTGCCACCATCATCTCCATCTCAACCACCTCCACCTCCATCTCAGCCACCTCCACCAACACCTCAACCACCTCCATCAACTCAACCACCTCCACCACCACCTCAACCACCTCCACCATCACCTGAAGCACCTCCACCATCATCTCAACCACCCTCATCATCATCTCAACCACCATCACCTCCATCTCAACCACCATCACCTCCATCTCAACCACCACCACCTCCATCTCAACCACCCTGATCATCATCTCAACCACCTCCACCTCTATCCCAACCACCTCCATCATCATCTCCATCCCAACCACCTCCACCATCACCTCAACCACATCTTCATCATCTCAACCACCTCCACCTCCATCTCCATTTCAACCACCTCCACCTCAACCACCTCTACCTCCATCTCAACCACCTCCACCACCATCTCAACCACCTCCACCTCCATCTCAACCACCTCCATCTCAACCACCTCCATCATCTCAACCACCTCCACACCTCCATCTCAACCACCTCCACCATCACTTCTACCATCTCCATTTCAACCACCTCCACCATCACCTCAACCACCTCCATCATCATCTCAACCACCTCCATCATCATCTCAACCACCTCCACCTCCATCTTAACCACCTCCACCTCAACCACTTCCACCTCCATCATCATCTCAACCACCTCCACACCTCCATCTCAACCACCTCCACCATCACCTCAACCACCTCCATTTCAACCACCTCCACCATCACCTCAACCACCTGCATCATCATCTCAACCACCATCACCTGAAGCACCTCCACCATCATCTCAACCACCACCACCTCCATCTCAACCACCCTGATCATCATCTCAACCACCATCACCTCCATCTCAACCACCACCACCTCCATCTCAACCACCCTGATCATCTCAACCACCTCCACCATCACCTCAACCACCTCCACCATCACCTCAACCACATCATCATCTCAACCACCTCCACCTCCATTTCAACCACCTCCACCTCAACCACCTCTACCTCCATCTCAACCACCTCCACCACCATCTCAACCACCTCCACCTCCATCTCAACCACCTCCATCATCATCTCAACCACCTCCACTTCCATCCGAACCACCTTCCCCCCACCACTAACATCTCCATCTCAACCACCTCTACCACCACCCTCCACCATCATCACCTCCACCAGCAGCACTCTCTCCTCCACCACCACCTCTACTATCACCCCCACCATCATCTCCATCACCACCACCTCAACCATCATCTCCATCTTAGCTGGCATCTCCACGTCCACCCCCAGCTCCATTTCCATCACTACCACCAGCTCCATCATCACCTCCACCTCCACCACCACCACCACCTCTACCACCATCTCCACCTCCATTTCCTCCTCCACTACCCCCATCACCACCACCACCACCTCCTCCATCTCCATCTCCACCACCACAAAGCAATTGCTAAAATGAATGAGGACATCATTTCCTTTAGTTTCTCCTTGGAAGGCAGAGAAATACTACCTGAAATTCCCCTAGAAAGCTTTTATCTGATAAAGCCTATAGGAAGTCTTATTCTTCAAATGCATCATGAGTATATTATTATGTCCTAAATGAAAGTCATCCAAATCTGGCTAAAATATCCGGCACTATTTCTTAGATGCACCCTTTGACATGTCACTGTAGTTAATCTGGATAAATACTTACTATGAGTTGGAAGTTTTATGGTTTTGAGTGTACTTTAAAATTTTATGGCTTAGGAAAGTTCAGTTATCTAATATTTAGCTATCAGTGCAATTTATATTTTATAGGGCTTTATGCCAATACTAACAAGAACACACTGGTTGGTAATCATATATTCATTGCAAAACAATCCATCATTTCCATGGGAATAAAGATCTTAGAAACACAATGGCTTTCACTAAAGTGCAAATTCTTTAAGAGCGAGGTACCGATGAGGAACTCATAGTTGCTGGAAATACTGGTGAGAGATTAAAAGGAATGTACGAAACAGAATCACTGGCATGCAAGTTCATACACCAGAGGCCCATTAAGCTTTTGGCTCATCTCCCAATATTCTACAAATGTTCAGCGACATCTTCCACAAAACATCCTGAAATCATTTATGGCCTTTCCAGGCAGCTAAAAAAGACAGCTCCATCTGTATCTTCTCAAACACAGAAGGAGGGAGTACACAAGACACCCTGAGACCCCTGCGTCTTTCCTAGGAGAGGCTGGTATAATGAAAGCGGAGTTCAAATCAAATATTCAAACATATATTTATTCCTCCCCCACCTCAATACATACATATTATATATATATATATTATATATATAAAATATATATATGTGTGTATACACACACACACACACACACACACATACATATACCCGAAAAGCACCCTTAGTGTTTTTGAACACTTGAAATCCTAACATTATCAACCCCTATAACTGATCATTATCTCCCTTTTTTGTCTGCCCCCTAACCAGAAAGCCAAAGAGCCTGGGACCCTATGAAGACTCTTGGCACGTTCAGCCCTAAAACGGCCCAAGGCCTTCACAAGTTCATCAGGTGTCTATTTGCCATTGGAAACTAGGTGAAGTGTGTGGTGAGAGCTGATCCACATCTCCTTCCTCCTGTACCTCAACTTCCTGCATCTCTGATGGAAGCGACTAATTCTTTCTCAGACGGCAAGAATGGGAGAAGTTTAAAGAGATTTCTCTCCATTTGACCTTTATAGTAGACAAGCAGAAGTTTACCTCAAGGCATTTTACCACTAGAGTACCAAACTGAATTTATTCTACTGTTCTTTTTGTGGTAATCACCAATCCCAAGAGAACACAAAAAGAACAAATAAAATAATATTAAAACCAATATGTTTCTTTTTTCTTTTTTTAAACCAATATGTTTCAACAACAGGAAAAAAAAAAAGCATACACAGCCACGATAAACTTGTCCCACAGCACATTCCCAAGCTTCAAATGAACGTACCTTAAGGACAATTTTATTATCTGAGGTTGGCGTCCTCCCCACCCACAGTGCAAATTTGCAAGGATCTCCTTCAACGTGTTCTGTGACACCCAACTCTGAGGTCTGGATAAAAAGGTAATTACATAATTAGATGACAGTAAGATTCCAGCAAGATACAGAACAAAGACCAAGAAAACAGTTTTTGGTGACTTGTGGTCATGCCAGGTTATAACAACATAGTTTGTTTACATTAATGGGTAATCCTCAGATCTTATTTCAGTAAAAATGAGAAAGTTTTGTTCTTAGGCCACCATGATTGATTGTATCCCTTTTACTTCGTCTATGTACCTCTACTGGAGATCCTGATGAGGGTCAACCAGATCCAGAGGAAGGAAACCAAAATATCTAAAAATCCTGTTATCTGGAAAATCAAGAGTTGACCATTTTCAACTCATAAACAACAAAATGAATCTTAGTTGCAAAGGAGCTGCCACCATGCATTTTCAGCATGAATGAAGTAGCTTTGCAGAAGGCACATAATGTCTTCACAGTTGTTTTTTTCTGATTTGTTCACCAGAGCATTAAATTTCAGTATTTCACCAATAATTTTAAGGGCTAAGACAAAATTTCTCTCTGTGACATGTGCAGTTGTAATGGGAGCACGTGGAAGAGCATAGGTGAAGGTCAATATCTTCAGTCCCTCCCCCACAGTCAAGTTCACCCCTAGTGTGTTCTCCCCCCTCCAGCAAAGGAAGTGATTCATAATCGTGGCCTCTGAGGGAACCTTAACTTTTAAAAGATAAATTAAATGAAGATGTATCAGCTTCTAAAACAGACTAGCTGGGTCTCTGAGGATAGATTAAAGCCAGCTAGTGAAATTACTAGCCAGCAATGCTCCATTTTTTCTTTCCAGTTACAATATGATCTAAAATGAGGTAAGGTGGGCTGTGAGCCAAAAGACAATCTCAAACAGGATATAAGCCAAAGAAAATGGTATGAAAATCATTAGTTTGAACTTGCAAATTCCAGGTTATTATTAAAGATGATTTCTACATTGGTAGTATTTTATTACTTTGGGAACTTGATTAATATATGGATACCATAAAAATACATAATGTAGATGTTGTCCAAATTCCAAATATCTACCAATATTTATAAGCAATCCATCATATCTTGTGTAAAGAAGAAACCAAATTCCATTACATTTTCTGTTCTTTCTCTGTTGGCGATTTTTAATTAGTTTTCCCAATCCTCCCCCTGCCTGTCCCTGCCCAGAGGTTCTGTGTTGACAGCCCCTGAGATACTCCCATAAGGGGAACACAGAAATACAGCACACCCTGAGGAGGACACCTGCCTGAGACTTCTCTGAGAGTCAACATGTGGTTTTATAAAGAGACTCCTTGGACTTGCTTCTTGCGGGGGGGGGGGGGGGGGGGGCGGGGGGGGGGAAGGCATCAGGCATGTTCTTTTGCCAGAAAGTATACTCACAAGTTAAAAAAGAATTCAAATGCAACATAGTATCCACCCAGCACTCAAGGTTAGTGAGTGCTCTTAGTACAGATGGGGGACTGTGGATCTTTAAAACTATTTTTGTTTGTATATATTTTCTCTAATAACCGTATTTTGTTATTGTAAAGAACCACAAATTTACTTATTTTCTACACATTTATCTTTATTGAAAGAAAAATTCACACCTCATCATTAAGAGCCCACAGTGAGCCACCCTGGAAGGCTGCTTAACGTATATTCCAATGTTGGTGAAAGAAAAATTAATTAGAATGATACAAAAACTTAATCTTAGTCTCATATGATCAATTTATTTGTAAAGTTGGTTAGGGCACACAAGAGATAAATTTAAATTCACTTGAAAAGTGTTTCCCCATCCTCAGAGTCTATGGAATTTAGAAAAAGCAGGTTTTCTAAGTCTAGAGAAGCTAAAACCCATGGGCTCCCTCTAGTGGACTCGAGACCGCCAGAGATACTTAACTGTGGAGGATGAAAACCTTTTTGATTCCAGAGCTCCACATTTTAGGACAGTTTGGGAGGTTACACTGAAAGCAATAGTAATTCTTTTCTACCTGCAAGAAGACTGCAAGTGTGTTACCTTTAAATTTACAATTCTGAACGTCTATACTTACAAACAATTTGCTTTTATAAAGGTACTTGCTTCTGCCACTGGAATCTTTCACTTCTTTACTAAATACTAAGGACATTTCAAAAAGGAAGAGATGCCGTTCTCGACCCTTTCGAATTAAGGTTTTTGGGTCCCACACTTGGAAGGATTCCTGCAGGATGAGTTCTCCCTGAGACTCAATATTTTCATCAAACCCTACAACATAAAAACAAGGAGGCACAATCAGTTTGAAAGAAAATAAAACATGATGCACAGGACAACACTGTGACGATTTAAACATTTGTTCATTGCCCATCAATTAAATCTCAGATTAGAGTTTCCTGTCTGGGCCCCTCTCCAGTTCCCCTGCACTGATCCCATCTGACAAAGGAGAATTCTTCCTAAAACGTGACTTTGCACATATTTTCCCTTGTTCAAAAAAAAAGAAAAAAAAATGCAAAAAGCAGCGATTCCTCATGGCTTTAAACTTTCATCTCCTTAGGGTGGCACTCACAGCATTTGAGATTTGATGGAATCCCTACTTCTCCTCGGTCTGCACTCATGGCATTCCATCACACAGACCTCCTCCCCCGTCCAGACTGGTGCATGGACCTCCCCCCAGGCCACTGCCTACTCCCAGCCTGCGTCCTGCCTCTTCAGCCCAGAACACCCCTCCTGGATGTTCCACTGCAGTCCTGGCCTTTCCTCAAGTGTCTGGTCTGGCCTTCCTTGGTGAGGTCTCCTATCTTTGCAAAATTCTTCATGTGAACCAGTCATACTCTGGCCATGGGGTGGCTTTCACTCTGTTCGACTCTTCCCAGAAGTGGCCCATGGCACGGACTTCCAGCGACCAGGCTTCACAAAGCGGTGGGATATCTGGGGCAAGGTCTGCTGGTTCTCTCTCGACTACCTCTCTCCTCCTCTTCTCCAGACAGAAGCTGCCTCTGTGGCCACCCAAGCTCAGGCCATATGGGGGAGTCTTGTGTTCAACTCCTAGTTCCTGCCCTTCCTCATGCTCTTTCCCCACTGTCTTCCTGCTAGATGGAATGCTACCATGGTCTTGACATATCCTGAACCCAGCCAAGCAGACAACATTTAAGCAGTGGAGACAAAGTACAGAGAACAGAGCCTGAGTCCTTGATGATGCCATGAAGGGCTGCCACACCAGCTCAGGGTCTCACATCAGAGAAAGAAAAAGCTATCTCACCTGGCCTCTGATTTTTGGGTCTCTACTGCAAACAGCATCACCTCTGCCCCAACCATTTATACTGCTCAATACTATTGATGATAAGAAAAAGCATTTGGGGCAGGATTACTTCTTGTACATAATTGTGTACCCTGATAATAAGAGTTAAGCTCTGTAACACAGGAAGAGCCTTTTTAAACAGAAGCATCCATGGAAATTTCATTTGCAAGAGAAATTTTTAATTTCGTTTCTCTGACTCTCTTATCACATTACATACCACCATGTTACACACCACCATGTTCAAGGCTCTTGCAAGTGATACAATGGACACAGATACGGGGAAACAACAAGCTTTTTAAAGGATTTTATAATCACAGGGGACTCATCTTGCCTTCCTTGTAACCATCCATCTACCACGGACACCAGATTGCCTAAAGCAAGAGTCACGGGTGTTACTGGGGTTCTGAGTATGGACAGCCTGTTCTCCGGTTAATGGACAAGGGCATGCTCTTAATGAGGTTGAAGCACTTTGTGATCCTTAGGGGAAGCAATGAAACCAGTTCTTTTAAAAAAGAAGGTACTTGGGGAGCTTGGGTGGTGCAGTTGGTTAAGCATCTGACTCTTGATTTTGGCTCAGGTCGTGATCTTGGGGTCGTAAGATCGAAACCCGCATCAGGCTCCACACTCTGAGGGGAATATGTTGGAGGATTCTCTCTCTCCCTCTCCCTTCACCCCTCCTCTGCCTCGTGCCTGCACGCTCACTCTCTTCCTCTCTAAAATAAATAAATAAGTCTTAAAAAAAAAGAGATAAGATATTCGTATCTGAACTCTTAACTCCTAACATAGAGGACGAGGCCAAGAGTTTCAGGGCATGGGAAATCCACCTATAAACAGTGCCAGCACAAAGTGGACAGATGTTTGTTAGGGGACACAAAGAGCCCGTTACCTTCCAGCATGCTGAGGTGCATGGCATCGTTGGCTCGCTTTGGCACACTGAGCATCACCTCGAGGCCATCTTTTATCTCCCCTTTTCCTTCTTCACAGCAAGTGAGTAGCTCCTGTAAGAGACCAATACCATGAACCAGCCAAAGACCAAAAGCTCTGCCAACAAGATCTTTGCAGCAAAGAAGTCTATGAAGAATCCGTGATTTTCAAGGTAACAACAGACTGCGGTCAACTGGGCACCTATTCTCATAGAAAATGAATTACTGCTTCTTTATCCAATGGATGGAAGCATTTGTCCTGCTCAAATCAGGATGCTTCTTCAGATCAGAGGAAACCAGACGCAGTCACAGTTTAAGATGGAATCAGTGCACACGTTAACTGCCGAGCCTCAAAAATGACAAAAAGACTTAATTAGCACAGCAAAGCATAATCAGCTACTGGTTTTATTTGAAGGTCATGACAGCATGCAGCTAGCACCCCCGTGTGATTGTGACCTCTTTGGTGCTGTCGGTGCCATGCCCCCACCTAACCTGAAACTCCCAGGTCATGAGCAGAAGCAGCACCGCTGCACCAGAATGTGCAGTTAAATGCTGTGCCTTTGTGCGCAGGATGGTTCCCAAAGCGCGAATGATCTAATCACACCTCCCTGAGTGTGATTACATTTCGTATCTACTCGGAGGAACATCTGCTAGTAAATGAAGGATAACGAGGACAATAAATGCACGTTCTGGCAGGGTCCAAGGTATTTTCTCACCAGTGTATGAATGGTTATATTCAGCCAGTAATAGTAACCACAGCCTTCTGTGTCCTGGCAGTCCCTAAGAGGGACAGGGCACTGCAGTCAGCTCTGGTCTCATACTGGATAGTTTTAGAGCAACTTGGCACCATACAAGCACTTTCACTCATGACCAGATGGTTTTTACCTATTATTCTAAGCAGCTTAGCAAAAAAGTGCTTAAAAATGCTATGTACAAGAAATTAACCTCACTGGCAGAAAACCTTCCTCGCTGGGGATCTCAACAGAGCTTATTACTATTTTGCTGAAGAACCCCTGGGCAGAATAACGTGTGGTTTATAAATTAAAGCCCCACTTTAATGGTGATTAACTAGATCTGAGGTCACTGAGAAAGAGATCTTTAGTGGAAACACATGCTGAAGACAAAATTCTTAAATCTTGAGGACACCAAGAGGTACACTGCCTTTGCAGAAGTAAAAAGCAGAGGGCTAAATGTGAACATAAACAACTTAACCTCCTGACTTCTATTTCATGTTCACCGTAAGCTCATATTCCTGCAGTGAGGGCCATAAAGCACTTAATAGGATTTTGATACAAAAGTGCAGGAGAGCTTTCCCAACAGCAATGTCCCATAATGGTATAACTTTAACAAAAGCATATGGCCACTTCTGTTTCTAGAGTTTTCTCATTAACAGAAAGATAAAGAGTTTCAGGATTTCATAACTCCATCTCTGAACTTCTTTTCTATCTGAAAATCACATCATTACCTCCTACTGCTGTGCTCAGGCAGCAGTGGGGACAGGGTCAGATTCACAAAATACTGTTCCCAGGATGAGTGGGCAGTTGGTTCATTCTGATGCTTAATAACATCCTCCAGCCAAGGAAACAGCCAGGTAAACATCATTAGGTAGAGACTGTAGATTATTATTCTTGTAGTCAAGAAAATGTGCATTGATTTATATGATGCATTCTGTGACAACGATCACAAATTCTAAGTTTCCTTTACCATTCTACTGTTAAGTCCTTAGATTATTAGAAATGTGGGGGTTTGAGGTGTAACTGACACACACCATTATGTTAGTTTCAAGAGTATGACATAAGAATTAGCTACTCATATATATTGCAAAATGATCACAGTAAGTCTAGTTAACACTTGCCAGCATACCTAGTTACAGGAAGCCTTTAACTGTAACCACATTCATAACCAAGAGGAAGTGGAGGTCAGTTTGATTCAAATACACGGGATGTGTGTGAACAACATGTTCCATAAATATGCGTGTGACCCATGACTAGATGTCACAGGGAGGGCGCTGCCTGAGTGTGAGTTACCTGAGCCCCCACCCCACCTGGGTTTGGAGCCCAGATACCAGGGTCCAGTGATGATTGTGGGCACAACCCTTACCCTCCCAGGCTCACGTCCAGACCTGCAGACCAGCACTAGCAGGTGAACTTAACACACACAGAGTACAGAGTACAGTGCCCGGCCCGCGGTCAGCAAGCCGTCCTGAGATACAGGTACTAAGTGATCCAGGTCTGACAATCTCTCTTTCCTTTCTCAGTGTCTGTTAGGGACCAGGGTCAGCCAGCAAAGTTCAGATGCATAATCAAGGAATAGTCTCTTATCTACCTGCTGCACTGAGAAACTGATCAGGGTAACAAATGGCAATGAATTAAAAAAAATTAACTGGCTAGGTGTTACTTCAAAAATTCAGGGTACTTTACATAAAGAGAGAGAAAAATGTCAAAATAATAATGCACAGTTCACAAATTTTGCAGGCAGAAGATGCTTGATACATACTTTTAAAAGAAGTTGATACTTTGTTATTCGCTGAACTGGCTTAATAAGGTAAGAAGAGATGGAATTGGCTAATCCATGCCGCTGCTGTATTTCCTGAATTGAGAAAAAAATATATATATACTGATAAACATTACTGGGTAAAATTAGATAGCATGAACTAAAACTTTATATTTTTTACCTCCAAAATGAATACACACATATCACTCTTGTTCTAAGAAATAAAAGTAGAAATCACTATTTATTCTTTTAATATGCTGAACATAAGAATAAGTTAATCACTTTGAACCAGAAGACAGCAGCGTTCAGTCTGGATTCCTAGCTTTCACGTGCAGACGTCAAACGGGTGAAGCCCACGACTCCCCGCTACCAGGCCCGCACTGGCCTGGCAACCCCCGCCCCCGCCTCCGCCCCGGGGCCAGCCCTGGCGCCACTCAGCCACAGGACACTGAGCCATGGACTGGACGCGCTCTGCAGCTTTGGCCCACGGCAGCTCTGCAGCTTTGGCCACGGGCGCCCTGGAGCCACAGACCACATCCCTTCCGCTGAGCCTGACTCTCCCTAACAGGGGCTCCTCCTTCCTCATGAACACATTCACACGCCACTCAGGTATTCTTCCATCCGCTCTCACAATTCAACCATCTTCTAGCCCAGACTTTTCACACCAACCAACTGTACTTGTGCTATCTTGGCTCCTAACACTCTTCTCAGAAAATTTTCAAAAAACAAAGAAAAAAGGGTTGGGGCGCCTGGGTGGCTCAGTCGTTGGGCGTCTGCCTTCAGCTCAGGTCATGATCCCGGGGTCCTGGGATCGAGTCCTGCATCAGACTCCTTGCTCAGCAGGGAGCCTGCTTCTCCCTCTATCCCTCCCCACTGCTTATGCTCTCTCTCTCTCGAATAAATAAATGAAATCTTTAAAAAAAAAAAAAGGGTTATCTTCTAATATACTATGCTTCAGATGTGATTTAAAAACCACCACATCTTTGTATTCTCAATATTCTCAATCTGTTTGCCATCTTCATTAAGCCCCGCAGGAACCAAGCATCGTGTGGGGATTCACGTGGCCGCTCTTTTGGCTGTAGGAATCACCAAACGACAGATCACTTATGCACCAAGAAGATTAGATTAAAGACTTAGCAATTCTTCCTCTGCCTTCCAGATCACAAATAGAGCCTTAAAGTTTCTCTTTAATGGCAACTGTTCAAAAGTGTGGGATTTATAATTTAATGATTATGATATACGTATTCATAATATCACATCGAAAAGATTTCTTCTTTTCATGTACAGGATAATGCACAGATCTCAAGTACAGGTCACTGAGTTCTGACAAATGTCAACACACTTGCAACCAACTCCCAAACCAAGGTACAGAATATTTCCAACATCACAGAAAGTTCTTCGTACCCCTTTCTAACCAATTCCCCCAACCACAACCCCACCACCACCAAGAGGCAACCCCTGTTCTGATTTCTATCACCAGATAAGTTCTGCATATTCTAGAATTTCATATAAAAGGAATCTTTCAGATGTATTCTTTCATGTCTAGTTTCTCTCAGCCCATGTTTTGGAGATTAATCTCTGCTATTTATGTATCAAGAGTTTATCCCTTTGTACAGCTGAGAAGTATTCCGTTTCATGCATACCCCACAAAACAGTTGAGAGATATTGTAATGTCTTTTGAATACCTTGTTTTAATAACATTCAGAAATGAATCTCTGATATTTCTAAACACCAATCTCACTATTTTTGTTGACATTTTTTATACCTTATGATAGGATTATACTATTCAAACATGACAAGAGAGAAATGAATATCCAATGGGAAAAAAACAGTCTCTTCAACAAATGCTGCTGGGAAAACTGGACAGCAACATGCAGAAGAATAAAACTGGACCACTTTCTTTCACCATACACAAAAGTAAACTCAAAATGGAATAAAGGCACAAATGTGACACCTGAAACCATAAAAATACCTGAAGGGAACACAGGCAGTAATTTCTCTGACATCAGCCATATCAACATTTTTCTAGATATGCCTCCTGAGGCAAGAGAAATAAACGCAAAAATAAGCTACTGGGACAACATCAGAATGAAAAGCTTCTGCACAGCGAAAAAAACAATCAACAAAACTAAAAGGCAACCCACTGAATGAAAGAAGGTATTTGCAAATGACATATCTGATATAGGATTAGTATCCAAAATACAAAAAGAATGGCTACAACTCAACACACGCACACACAAATAATCCAATTAAAAATGGGCAGAAGATATGAACAGACATTTCTCCAGACATACAGACACATGAAAAGATGTTCAACATCACTCATCATTAGAGAAATGCAAATCAAAAATATAATAAGATATCATCTCACACCTGTCAGAATGGCTAAAATAAAAAATACAAGAAGGTTTTGGCAAGGATGTAGAGAAAACAGAACCCTCTTGCACTGTTGGTGGGAATGCAAACTGGTACAGTCACTCTGGAAAACAGCATGGAGTTTCCTAAAAAAGTTAAAAATAGAGCTACTCTACAATCCAGGAATCACACTACTTGGGTATCTCACCAAAAGATACAAAGACACTAATTCAAAGGGATATATGCACCCCTATGTTTACAGCAGCATTATCTACAATAGCCAAATAATGGAAAGAGCCCAAGTGTGCAATGACTGATGGATGAAGAAGATGTGGTACACACACACACACACACAGAGTAAATATTACTCAGCCATCAGAAAGAATGAAGTCTTGCCATTTTCAATGACATAGATGGAGCTAGAGTATTACGCTAAGTGAAATAAGTCAGAGAAAGACAATTACCGTATGATTTCACTCAGATGTTGAATTTAAGAAATAAAACAGATGAACAAAGGGAAAAAAAAAGAGAGAGAGAGACACACACAAACCAAGAAAGAGACTCTTAACTATAGAGAACACACTGATGGTTACCAGAGGGGAGGTGAGTGGGGTGATGGGGGAAACTGGGGATGGGGATTAAAGAGTATACTTACCATGATTTAAAAAAAAAAAATGATTAAAGAAAATAAAGACAAAAATGGCGACAAGATCAGAGTATTTTTCCAAAACACCTGACAAAGGTTTAATCCTGCTGAAATAATAAAGCTTCCTTTTCCTAAAAAGCTCTTAAAAAAAATAAAACAAAACTTCTGTGCTTCCAAAACTTTACTTTGGATGGTAGGGGCAAAGAATTGGGGGTTAAGACGATGACCTCGCTTACTGGTCAGTGGCATATCTAACACCACAAACACCCACTGAGTTCACTGAGCCCCAGACAGACATGCAATCGTGCTGACAATGGAGACTGAAGGCAAGACATCTGTGAGATCCCTAAATTAGGTAAGCATAATTTCCTTTATCTTTAAAGGTGTTTTAGGGCAAAGGGTTCTTTTTTAAATGGCTTTCATTCCAAAGCCATTTGATTGGATTCAACATACCACAAGCTCTCTGTGCTTAGACCTTACAGAATTCTAACTCTGCATACAGCTTGGTGTTGAGTTTCATCTGATGGTAAAGAGCAAGGGAGGTGTGAAAAACTGAAAGAAAAGGGCAACACTGGGCTGGGAGAGCTGACTTGATTATTTACAAAAGCAGTGATGTAGAATTACTGGTCATGAGAATGACAACTAAAATAAGACCATGTGCTTCATGGCAAAGACAGAAGCTAAAATGTATTCTCATTTCCCAGACATCCAGAGAAGAGTATCAGGCATGGCCATGCACAAGCATAAGGACAGAAACAAGTCTAATATTCTTGCAGCCTTGTATACCGTATTACACATGACACTGAAAAGTATTCTTTTAATCATGATGTACTTGTCATGTTTGACTATATTCTGGAGACCCAAGAAGCTTTCTGTATATTATTTCCAAAAGGCTCCGACCCCCTTTATATAAAATAACCTCCCTGCAATATCTTTCAAAAAAAGAGGACCTACAAGTACGCTTTCACCAATGAGAATATAATTAATGAGCCTCCCAATGGTCCTAGCTGTTACAGTGCTATTTGTAAAAATTTTACTGATAAGCTACTTTTGGAATTAAGCACATGATAAAAATGGGAAAAATGAATGAATAAAAAAGATTCAAAGGTTCAAAGATTCTTTTTGTTTCATAGAGGGTAAAAGCAGCTTAACAGTTTACAGCTTCTGTACATAATATTATGTTTAAGAATTAACGATTACATATAAATAGTAAGTCATGTCACATACACATGTACCTGTTAAAATCTTAGAAGAATCTTTTAAAAACAGAGGAAAACAGAAGAATATCCCACCATAAATGTGACAGATAAAAACGAAAATACTCTACTCTACTCTAGGTAAAAGCTATGAGTAGTGTTGCATTTTATGTTTACCAAACACAATGTTTTCACCACTTCCACCAGGAATCTCTTACTTACATCAAAGTAGGATCCCGCATGTTCTAGTATCAGCTGAGTAGAATCAGGCTTATTTTTGCAATAGGTGACATACATCTGAAACTTGTCTGCCTATAAACAACAAAAAACGAGAATATCTCTTTCAAACGGCAAGAAGTCAAAACATCATAGACTTTTATGTAGAAAAGAAGCGATGGGGATAAAGGAAATTTAAGCTCTATGGAAAAGAAACACTATTTTATACAGAAAGCTGTTAAAAATAAGAAACGCATCCCACTGGTACCACACACCTCCAGAAGCCTCCCCTGGCCCAGTAAGTCAGGGCTAGGCACACCCTCCCTAGAGGACAGGGCACTGACACCAGGTGACTGTCGGCTTCTCCTCCCTCAGCACCCCCCCAGGCTTGGCTGGGCACTCACGTTCACCTATGAATCCCCAGGGCCATGCACAGGCCAGGCACATTAAAGTTCCATTTCTAAACATCACTACTACCAATTAAAAGCTCATTCTACATTACTATCTAGTTGGAGAATGTAATTCTTAGAGGCAAAGTCCACTTCTCCATAAGCAGACATCACAGAAGATGGTGACATAAGAGAAATGAACCGTATTCCTTCTAACTTCCCGCAAAGCCACCAAACAACTGTGAGAACCAGTCGCTGAGGTGTCATTACCCAAGTAACAAAGCAATGTCCAACGTCCTCTGGCAACTGCTCATATTTTTCCAGCTCTTTAAGGAATATGCTGCAGAGAGTAAAAATGGTATCGTATTATTAAGAGGTTTTTTTTTACCAGCACTTTACCAGTGAGATAAGCCAGAAATCAGACCAAGCATGCCAAACATACCATTTCAATCAAGTGCAGTGAAAAATCTGCACCCTCTAGATTTTAAAGATTTAACAAAACGTGTAGCTCTTAACTAGGCTAAGTTATTGACTTTCAGATAGCTAACATGTTTAGCCTTTAAATACTTTTTTATTTTTTCTGGGCGAGTGCTTTATTCAGTAGCTAAGGATGTTATTTAGGGATATAAATAAACAATCAGAAGAAGCCATTTAGGTTTAAGTGTGTTTTGCTGGGTGGGGGCAGGGGAGCGAGGGAGAGCCCGGCAGGTTTGGCCCCCAGCATTATCTTCCACAGGCTACCGGGCTCCACAGACTCTGTCTAAAGCAACTTCTGCTTCTTTAAACAACAACAACAACAAAACCTGAAAAATAAAACCATGTGCCTCTCGTGGCCAATGGACAGCGCATTTTATTTTGGTCGACTACACATCTGTTCTGTCCTCAGTCCTTCTTCCCTCTTGGAAAAGACCAAACATGGGCCAGCAGCCTCAGAGAACTCTCCTTTACCTCTAAGAAGTAATCGAGGTAGCAGCTGGTGGCACAGCTTCAGAGAAGTCAGGGTTCCTCCAAAAACAGTGCTCACACTTTCCCTAATCTTATTTCTATGGCAGGAAAGTACACAGAAGAAGCGGAGTCTCTATTAACAAAGAGTCTCTACAGTGTCGGTCTTTTTGACGAAAGCCCCACAGGTGTCATTCAAATTTCAACAGGATCACTGAAATGGATGCTTAATTCAGTTGGAAGCTTTCATTTCTTGTTATGAAACTTCAGCCCAGTATCTAGATTTCAAGAGTAACCAGCTCCCCAAAGATAAAGCCACTCACTTATTATGAAATTCATAGATTTCCTGCATGTTCCCGAAGATAACAAGCTCTCTGTTTACGATGCCGGCCGGGATCTCCTCCACCCCGCTGGTCATTTCCCACAGGTACGTCTGGCCGGGAGGCAAGCAGAGAGATTACAACACAAAAACCGACAGCACACGTCCAAGAAACGGCTACTGCTGACATCTTTAATACGTACCCAGAGTTCACAAATCACTGAAAAATACATCTGAAGAATGCAACCTTTTACAAAACAACATGAAAAACTTTTTCCCAAAAAAGCCCCCCAGTTGTTCTGAGCACTTGAGAGTAGCTCCTATACTCTCCAGCTCAAAACTTTCTATCCCCGGCTTCAAGTTTTGCAGTTAACCTACTCTCTGAGGTATGACAAATATTCTTTCAACTACTGAGAGTATGAGTTGCCAATCATAATTAGTAGGCATATTTCTCTGAAGCTGCTGTAAAATTCTTTTTCTCTTTTTTTTTTTTAAAGATTTTATTTATTTGACAGAGAGAGAGAGAGAGACACAGCGAGAGAGGGAACACAAGCAGGGGGAGTGGGAGAGGGAGAAGCAGGCCTCCCGCGGAGCAGGAGCCCGATGCGGGGCTCGATCCCAGGACCCTGGGATCATGACCTGAACCGAAGGCAGACGCTTAACGACTGAGCCACCCAGGCACCCCGAAGCTGCTGTAAAATTCTATACAAAGAGAATGTCAGCCAGGCCGTCATGTGATGAACGGAATGAGAGAATTAATGCTGTATCATCTCTGTGATGAGCAAAACACAAGCCTGGAACCTCACAGAAGGACAGAAACAAGAAAAACAGGCTGCTTAAGCACACTTCAAATCTCAAAAACAACAAAAAGTGTGATTATTTTAAGAACTACCAACAGGTAGGGAAAAGTAGCACACTTAGACTGAATCTAAATAAACAAGCAAAAAAACTTACTTACATCCATACACTCGCGGAGGTCTCTTACGTAAGCCTTTTCAGTTTGAATTAGCTCAGCCATGATGAACCTTCAACAGAGGAAGACAGCGAGGAGCTCAGCTTACAAGCAGGACACATGCTGATTTTAACTACCTACTTTGACGGTTTATAAAATTATAAGGTGGTTTTAAAAGCATTAGGCAGTAAGGTGTTCTGGGGAATTAAATCAAGAACAGATAGAACAATAATAGTATGCAGCCACGGAGTCAAAGGAAAAACCATTTTGGAAAACATTCTGTTGAGGTCCCTGCAGGTCAGGGCTTCTCACTCAGCACCACTGACATCTGGGGGCAGATAAGGCTTTGCTGGGGGGCTGTCCCATGTAGTAGAGGACATCAGCAGCATCCCTGGTCTCCATGCACTAGATGCCGTAGCACACCCCCTCCCCACGCTGTGACGACCAAAGGTGTCTCCACACATGGCAGAATGACCCCCAGCTGAGAACCCCAGGTTTAGGACAATCTTGTCTTCATGAATGTCTAGTGCAGTTTACTAATTGGCAATTCTGAAACAGCTCCATGTGTGTTATTTTTCTCGTTAGTACTACTACTTACTCATTCCCTATTGACAACCAATGACACTACAACAACTTGTCAACCTGTAGGAAATGGAAGCACAGGGACGAACACAAGACATGGTTTCTGAAGCAGGTGACAAGGGGGCAGTGGAGTCAGTGCTGCAAAAATGACACACATTCAGAGCATCCCAACGGATTAGTGCCATTGGTTTCAAAGCACACACAGAAGCATGCTTGTCCAAGTGACGTTTTCTCCACTCGTTCAACGAATCCCAGCAGGTTCTTAGAGACTGGCTTACTCTTTTCTGCGGGCCGACTTCCGTTTCTCTTCGTTAAGTTCATGAGCAGCATCACGAAGCTTCACCTCCGACCCAGGGACACTGGCGGGGATTATGTCTAGCTGAAGACTTTTGCTCTGTGGAGGAAGACAGCCAAGGAACTTGAGTTAATTAAATCCGGGGAGGACACGAGGAAGAACACCATTATTTTATTCTGTGTGCACAAAGCACTTTACCGATTTGTTGGAATCTGAAGAAATCCCCAGGGCTTTCTCCAAAGAGGTCCTGTACTTCTCCATCCGCAGAGAGAAATCTCTGTACCTCTTATCCACTGCAGTCACACATTTTTTTATCTCTGCTGCATGGGCATGCCCTTTTTCACAAAAGCCATCAGCCAGCTGGATCAATAGCTTCACTCTCTCTTTGGTTTGCTGCAAAAAAACAACAGGAAAGTATTGTGAGGCAAATGAACTCCAACTGCCAGAAACCAGAAACACAGTGGCAACTTGCCTACCACTCTGAGCTCTCAACGGGGAAAAACTGCTGGGGACAGAAACTTCCACCAAAGCTCCAAGTCCACCAATTCATCTCCCTGATCCTGGCTGAGCTACCGTTCCTCAGCTTTCCACAAAGAATGGCAGGTTTATGACCTCGAAAACAACCAGACAAAAATCTAGACTTTCTTTCTGCAATGTCTTCATCGGGTAGATGCTCAGGAGATAGCTGTAGAAGGAAGAGAGGAATGCTCACTCAGGCTGTTCTCTCTAGGGCCCTGCGATTCTCCACCACCGCATGCTGCACCAGCTGACTGCAGAGACACCTCCCTGCTCCCCGCAGGTTTACTCCCCGCGCCCATTTATGGCAGTAGTCCCCAGAGACGCTGGCTTTCCTGCCACGTGGCAAAGGATCTCCCCACGGCAGACCTTGAAGCAACTCCACGTGGCATGTTCATTTCTTCTCCAGCTCTCAGTAGAAATGGAGGAAAAAATCACTAGTCAGGAAATTATCTTTGTAGAGGCATTTTAAATGCTCTTCCCTGTTTTAGAACTCCCTCTCAAAAAAATGATTTCGTTTGTATACGTACTTAGAGAAGATATCTTAATTAAACATAACTTTCTTTTCTTTTTTTTTTTAAAGATTTTATTTATTTATTCATGAGAGACAGAGAGAGAGACAGAGGCAGAGGGAGAAGCAGGCTCCCCGCGGAGCAGGGAGCCCGATGTGGGACTCGATCCCAGGACCCTGGGATCATGACCTGAGCCGAAGGCAGACGCTTAAACGACTGAGCCACCCAGGCGTCCCTAAACATAACTTTCTTAACGTTTCTTAAAGTTAAGCATAAACCTAAAAGGCAGTGACTTCACTCAACTCTGATTTCTCACCACATCCTTCCCGTGTGTTCCGACGAGGCTTCCTTCAACATTCCTACTGGCACTTCCAGTGAGTACAGTTACTCCTCTCGCAGGGAACCTGGTTTTCCACTGACCTTTATGTAGAAAATCTCTATGCCTAACATGCAGGAAGCTGACTTTAAAAATCCCCAACAGGTGTACGTGAGAGCAGAGGTCTCAAAAAAGAAAAAAAAAATCCCCAAAATGATAAAGGTCAGAGCTCAAAACCTGGATAAATTATCTTAGTTTATACAGTAAATTTGAGGCAGAATTCATTAGGCAACCTGTAAAGCCCACTGTAAAAATCCTTGGGCTCTGCACAAACACCTAGCTGCAGCTGAGTGCCCAACTGGCCCCAGCATCCAACATGCGGGCCCCACGCGTACTCCCTGTCCCTGGTTCTTTGCCCCAGCGCCCCTCCTGCCCGGAATGCTCTTCCCCAAGATGTCTCTGTGGCTCCTTTATGTCTCTGCTCGACTAAAGGCCACCTTCTCAGCAGGCCCTCCCTGACTCCCTTAAAATTGCAACTCCCCCTTCCTGCCCCAGCTATCCTTACTTACCCTGTCGGCTCTACTCTTCCCATGGCATGGATCACCTTCCAACAAGGATGAGGTTCACTTAATACCATTACTGCCTGCCTGTCTCTTGTTAGAATGTAACCTCCACAGGCCAGGGATGTCTGTTTTGTTTCCTAATATCTCACTCACTTCCATGTGCCTGGCACCTAATGGACATTTACCAAATATTTCCTGAGAAAATAAATTAACATTAGGTTCTTTGTGCAAGTATGTATATGCCTATAACTTTAATGAGCATGGTAGTTACTCTTAATAGGCATTAATACTTTTCAAAAAACAAGTGAAAACAGAACTCAGATACAATCATGTCTCTGTGAAAAAAATTAACTATTCCAGATTCTATTCAAGCTGTTTACTGGAAAAAGTCAGCAAAACTTAAACCACCCTGAAGTTTATTGGGCTTTCATCTGGTATGGAAATGAACTCAAGTAGAGTGAGCTAAAGGGAAAAGATCTGTCAACCAATTTTTTTTTTTTTTTTAAGAGAAGAAGAGGTAGAAGGGAGGTACAGAAGAAGAGGGAGAGAGAGAATCTTGGGCAGACCCCTCGCCCAGCACAAAGCCCAATGCAGGGCTTGATCTCAGGACACTGAGATCATGACCTGAGCCAAAATCAAGAGTTGGATGCTTAACCGACTTGAGCCACCCAGAAGCCCCTCAACCAAATCTTTTCACTTATCAACGTGACACCCTTCTGGATATGTTAAGACAAGACTAATTATAAACCAAATAAAGAAGTCAAAGTTTCAGACTTGGAAGCATAAATTCCAAGAGGGACTTAATTTAGAACCATTATTAAATTTTAATATCAAAGAGAATTAATAAGAGTACAGCAGGATTGTTAACAAACTGTGTTGTCTAGATAAGGTTACACTGCTGTGTGCCCAAATACTAATGTGCTGAGAAGCACAAAGAAGGTTCTGTTGTGACACCCTAGGAGCGCTTCTCATCCCCTGCGCCACCCAGGAAGGATCCTCTGAGTTATGTGTATCGTTAAGGAGGCAAGAAAACTTTTTCATGTTGTAAGCACTGGGGTCACAGAGGTGAAGATAAAAAAGACAATTCAAAGAGAAAACAAAAACACTAAGAATGGATAGTAGGATGTCTGCATAATACACATCACAAAACAGACCAGCTGCAGGCGTGTAACACCAACAGGGTGATACTGAATAGGACACTAAATGTAGCAGAAGATGGCCTAGAGGCAGAGCCCTGTGGCTTGCAACTTTATGTAAACAAGAGACGCCAATCTGAGAGTCAAGGCTTCTCCAAGAGGTGTGGCCAAGCCTCTCCCTCAACCCCAATGGCTTTCCCTTATTAGTTTGCATGCACAAGTATATATATTTACCCATTCATCTTGTTATTGCCTGTTTCTCTAGCTGGAAACTGCAGTCCATGAGCCCAGCACCCAGAGCAGTTCCTGGTATGTGGCCAGGGCTCCATGAATAATGACTGAATGAATGAATGATGGGATAAAAATTAAGTATGATGAATCTGCTCATTCACGAACCTTTTATATCTCAATATGTATTTTTATTTTAATGGGTATTTTTCAAATGTATGCATAGAATTCAAAATTCAAAAGGTAAGAAAGGATAGAAGAGACGTTTTAGTACAGAGGTGGGTACGTGTGTATTTTTTCCTGTTTTGTACCTAAACGCTTGCACACAATAAACCCTGCTCTACACCTAGTACTTTTCATTTAACAACTCAGTTATCCTTCACCATTGGAACACAAGCAGCAACCCTGTTTTATGTTGAGAGCTGCATAATGTTTCTATAAGTGAATGCGCTTCCACTGATGAACCTTCATGTTGCTCCTGCGCTTTCCCCACGACCAGCACAAAGCAGGCAAAAACGCCCATCTGGGCACCTGCAGAGTGCGCATTTCGCGATGTGGGCCTACGGGGGAGGGGAGACGGTAAGTGCGTCTGTGATGGGCGGTAATCAGCGACGCCTGCAGAGGTCACCTCCGTTCCCCACCTCCTAAGACACAGCTGCAAGCTTTTTGATCTTTGCCAATCTCTTGGTTTGTGAAAACAGAACACACTGCAGTTCTGATGTATAATTTTATTTTAGGTAAATTTGATAATTTCATATATTTAAAGGCCATTTGTAATTCTTTTCCTGTGAGCCCTCTTTAATATCTTTTGTCCACTTTGTTTTGTCTTATTGATTTATAAAAGCTCTTTGCGACTGAGAAATCAGCCCTTTGTGATATGAACTGCGTATTTATCTTCTCTGCTTTTTGTCTTTTAGTTACAGTGGACTGCCCTTTAGAAATTTTCACATTTTTTTGTGTATGTCATTTTTATCATTCTTTTATGGGCTTTGGTTTTGTGTCCTGTTATTTCTTCTAGTCGGTCAGGTTTTCATTGCTGAACTTGAGCCTTTTTTCTGACAGTTACCTTGGTATCAAGGTGGGATATGAATACAACTCAATTTTTCTCCAGAAGGCTACTCAACACTATGGAAAAAACTTTCTACATCTTTTAAAATGAAGTATTATACAGGTTTCCATCATCATTATTATTATTCCTAGAGACTGTTACATAAGTAGATTTTTATTTTAAAAGAATACAACTGTTATAACTTGAACGTCATCAGTCGGTACAATCAGGGGCTTGTAGAAAAATAAAAGCAAACTGAATTTCTGAGTCCACATGCTCAAAGGATCTTTACTCACCATGTTCTTAAGTAAATGGAAACCCAGGAAGGATGCACATTCAATGGTCTTAGACCATTTCTGTCAGATTAAGGCATTTGGCACTGGGGACACGGGTGATCAGGAGGTGTGCGGGAAGGGGAAGGCAGAGTTCTGCAGGTCTCAGGCAGTGGATTTCTGGCTCCAGTGTGCTTACATAAATAAAAATCACCTGGGACGTTGTTTAAATTTGTTCATCTTTAGGTCTCTCTCCTAAATAGTTTAAGTCACTAAGTCTCGAATAAGGACAGAAATTGGCTTTTAAGTAAACACTCATGACCTGGATGCAGGCAATGCCTGCAAAGCACTTTAAGAAATTATTACATTAAGAGTTGCAAAGGAATGCAGTTGAGTCATAGGTCAGATAGTAACCAAAAGGCTTTATTTCTCTTACACTAAATATGTTACAGTAGTAACGCTGTAACAACTGAACTGGAAGACTGTTATGTCAAAGCAAAAGATTCTCTACATAACAAAAAAAAAATGGTTCTTAGAGGAAACTGTGATGGGGGACAGAAGGCAAGCAACATCTCCAAACACCAGAGCAGTTGCTATCGGATTAAAACAAAGGCAGCCGGAAACCAAAGGGAAAAAACGCTAAGAAAGAAAGTGAGAGGTGTTCTTTTCAAAATCTACCAGTTCCTCTTGGCAAAACTGACTCAATGTATTCAGTGAAAGAAAGAGCTCTGTGTATCTGGGAAACAGCAAGGTCAGATATTACCTGTGATTTCATTTGCTTATTTTTACAAAACGCAAGGGCAAAAATATGCCCATTCCTGCTCATTCTTTAATAACCACACCCCAAATTTGAGAAGGAAAATTCAGGAATAAAAAATCCTTTTGTATACACCCCACTGGTGGAACACAACGGTCACGCTAGTGCACTGTAGATGGTGACATGCACATCACATTCTGTGTGCATGGCGCCCCCTGGGGTTGTGCAGTGACCGGGCTGTTTGGCTGTGCATACTGACCTGCGGAGGGCAGCATTAATGGAGATGTAAGTTCGAGAAAAGGAACAAATCTTAAATCTACCTCTGAGTGGTATCTTAGGCATTTTCTTAATACCCCCATAATCAAAGGCTATTCAAAGAAACAAAGATAGATCATATAATGCACACAACTGTAATTTATTATCCAACTATTAACAAAAAACAAGAATTATGTAGCCAAAGGGGTGCTGTATCTAGGAAGCAAAAGACACGCTGCTTACCTGCAGAGGCAGGCAGGTCAGCTCTCCTCAGATGAGTGGGTGGGTGCCCTCCTGTGGATGCTCATGGCCCCTCTGGGTGCGGCTGTCATTGCCTGATTGTCTGACACCCCCCGCCCCCCAATGCTCACGGTGCCCCTGCCAGTGCCAGCTCACGCCGAGCCCTACAGGGGTCAGTCTGTCGGCAGCCACACTGGACTGTGTGCTCTTCCAGAGCAAAGACCAGGGGTTTCCAGAGCCCAGCACCCCGAGGGTGAGGGGAAGGAAATAAGCTACATCTTGCGGGCGGGCAGGAGTAGAGGGCAGTGCAGAATAGCAGGAGGGGTCAGAAACAGTTACAGAAAACATAAAGTACAAATAAACATAATACAAAGTAGCTGTTGCCACTCTAGAGGATTTAAAAATTTCCCACTGACGGTTTTCAAAGCCACCTTAAGGGCCACACGAGGAAATCAATTTTTTTTTTACTTTGTGGGAATACTTCTTTTTAACGAAAAATACTATCCAGCTCGATCATTTATTTCTACTAGTAAATTTGAATTTCCAGTTTAAAAAAAAAAACCTCAAATCTATCACCCAAAACATAGGCACGTCTGAAAATAAAACTTTGAAAAACTAAAACAAAAATAGCACAGCTTGAGAAGGGAACTCTAAAAATCTCAAAATTGTTTTGAGGTAAAAGAATGAGCCTCTGTGGGTATACACTTTAACTGGGAAAACATTCGTGGCAATGTGTGGAGTCTTACAGATTTGCTTAAAAATTCATATTTATGCCCATATATTACATACGCCACGTCTTTAATTCTACTTCGCTTTTCAGAAGGAAAGTGAAGATGTCTCCACCTGCATAAGCCTATGAAGAGCCGGCAGGAGAGTGCGCAGAGGTGAACTCTGCCCCCCGCAGCCCAGACAGGTTCCTGACCGGATGGGGCGCGTGTGGACAGGGCTACGGTAGCAAGCGTCACCCACCAGAGACCAGGCAAAGAAGCGTCCTCAGAACACACCCAAGCCAAGTCGGTAACACCAGTGTTTCCTAAAAATAGCAAGTACTCAGAAAAGACCTTGGGGGAATAAAAAAACAAAGAAAAAGAATAATGAAAAGGACAAAAGAGAAAACATAAAGGTATCTGCTGAAATCAGAGGACCCAAAGGAAACACCACATAAAGGGAGGGACAGCTGAGGGGAAGCGTGAAAGGCAGAAAGAAGCGTCACCTACATTAACATACAACGAGCCACTGGGGTCCCTCTGTTTCTCCAATTTTGGATAAGGTGTTTAAGGGATTTTTTTTTTTTTTTGAGAACTATCTTATGTACATGAAGTATCCTGTTCTAGGTTATTCTGGAAAACCCTGCCGGGTGTATAGGCGACCAATCTGAACCTACCTTTGCGGTGATCTGAAACTCCTCGTGCTCTTTCAGTAGCTCTTGGGTGTGCTGTATGCTTGAGCCCGTGGAGGTATGTGTGGAAAGGTAGAACTCCCCGTTGTCATGGATCCATTCTAGAGCCTGGGGAGGGAAGGAATGGAGATGCTCATGCCTGAGCCCTGGTAAAGGAGGCCCACTCCCTGCGTCGCCCACGCAGATGTGCAGTCACAAGCCCAGGCTGGTACACATCTACAAGTACCTCTTCCGGGACAGATGAGCTTCTGAAACAAGTATCATAATTCCAAAAGGAAAAGGAAAAACCTGACATTCTAGAAAGCTGTAACCACCTCACTTATATTGCAATGATTAAACAGTTCCTATAGCGGTGACATGCACTCGCAGTAGAAGAAACTACAACTAAGACCCTTTCAACAAGGATACTGAGAAGATGTGGAAGAAGGGATGATTTGAGACCCTCACACTTCTAAATGTTTAGGCCTTTCTTCCTTTTCCTGCCTTCAGTGAGTACCAGGTGGGATCCACCACACTTGCTCTTTGGGGGGTCCTATCCCATGATGCACAAACGTGCCACTGGGGAGCTGCTAGGAGAAGACATGCCTTAAGCCCTGTGGCTGCAGGAGAGAGGTGAGCGCACCTGAGGAGAAGGGAAGGGGGCCAGCGAGGGTCAGACTGCAATGACCCAGTTCTAACGCGTGTGCTATCTCATGCCCTTAGATAAAAGTTGTTTCACTACTTCTATTTCCATATAACTGAAGTGAAATCAGACTTACATATGCATCTAAAAACACAACACTGGGGGAAAGAAACATAAAAATGTAGAAGCTTTTATATTTGCCACTTGTAATCTCTGAGTCAGCCACTGTACTTTGCTAGTCTTAGAGTAGAAATGTCACTGTGTTTATTAGATACATCACAGCATTTACAGCATTTTAGAAGGAAACCATGACCCGGACAGCTGACTGCACGGGAATTACGGCTGTTATGCCTGAGCATGGCTATCCCGCCCCTGGAACAATGTTAACACTGCTGCTGAATCAAGGTTGAAAGCGATGTTTGTCAATTCACTCCAAAGGTCCCAGGTTTTTCCACATTTACAGCACGCTGTCTCTTGAAGGCCTACTGTGGAGTCAGGTGCTACCTGGGGGGCACTGGAGAATGAGCGAAGCTTCGGCCCTGCCCCTGTAGAGTGGGCAGGAGGAGGGAGATGGACAAAGATGCACAAAGACAAATGAGAGCAGGGGTACCATGCTTAGAACGGGAGGTCAGCAGAAGTGGTGTCTAAACTAGGACAGGCTGGCTGGGAAGCAACAGGCTCAGAAGAATGGGGAGAAGCTCAGTAGGTAGAGGGGCATGCACCATGGCCCCAGGCTGGTGAGCTGGCCCGCTATGGAGGCTGAAGGTGAGGCTGGAGAGAAGATGGGGAGGGCAGGAGGGCCCAGGAGCTCACAGGCCCAGTTTGGACTTTTCTGTGAAAACTAACAGGCTGCCGTGTAGAAAAGGAATTTCAGTACACAGTGAATGGAAGAAGTAACACTGGTCAGCAAACTGGCTCAAAGATTTAGGCAGGACACAGCTGGGGTTTCTATAGCATGATGGCTCTGACTGTGAAGGGGGAGGGCAGATCTGACCTGTGTGGGGGGTCTACACCTATGGGACTCACGAGGGAATGAAAGTGGGAAACTGGGGAAAGAAAGGAAGCAGGAGGTATACACCCTGTAAGGTGAGAGGGTGTGGGGGACACACCCTGTAAGAGAAGGGGGTCCTGGGGGACACCCACATAGGACGATGGAGCCTGGGGAACACAACCCATAAGATGAGGGGGCCTGGGGGTCACCCACATAAGATGAGGAGGGGGGACAGGGCTTCACGAGTCCAGTTCTGCTCTCAGTGAGGCCAAAGTAGAGACACCAAGGAGGCAGCTGGGATTTCTGAGTCTGCAGACCCGAAGTAGAGGTCAGGGCTACCTTCATGACAAGGTACCAGCAGAGGAGGTAAGAAGATAGGAAAGAAACTAGAGCTAGCCCCAGACTAAGCCTGAGGGGATGCCAGTGTTCAGCAGTGGAGAGCCTGGGAAGAGTGCCAAGGAGGCCGGAGGCGCCCAGGAAGCCCGAGGGCCAGGACTCGCCCACAGAGCCGGGGCGGTAATCACTGCTCCGCGTTCCAGCCAGTTAAGCTCAGGGTGCCGTCCTGAGGCCTGTGCATCAGGAGGAGCCTCCAGGACTGGGGTTACAAACAAGCAACTTCACTACGGGACCGTGAGCACAGCATAGAACCCAATGGGCTGCAATGGCCTACACTTCCTGATTTCATTTTTGGCACATGAGCTGACTTTAGGAAAAAGCAACAACACATTCCATTGTTTTTCTCCATTAAAATGATTATTTACAATTGTGTTCTCTGTAGCTGAATGACTGCTTGTCTTTCAACAGAGAAACAATAAAGACATATGAGAAGAGATTATAAGACAATCTCTAATTAGAAACAAAATCAGGCCCCATGAGTCTGAAATATGGTTGAACTATCATTAAATAAAATGTAATTTAAACACTAAAAACACTGCTTGCCACTTCTGTTGGGAATATAACTACCTCTGGTAACATCAGCCAAGATGAGGGAAGGGTTGAGTCTGCGTGCCAGATCTATGGACCAGGAACTCCAGCTTACAAACCTCGAGGGAACCGAGCCATTCTGAGCACCTCGCTGCCCACTCGAAACCAACATTGACCAAATCAAAAGAAAATATTCTCCCTAAGTGGGAAACTGTGCTGAGGAAGATTTAATCTTTAAGCTAAAAGATTTAACTGAATGCCTACTCTGTGGCAGGCACAGGTGAAGTCAGAAGACCGTCCAAGTCTGATGTGGTCACCAGCGACCCACAGCACCAAAGGGACTCTAAGCCCCCTGACATGCAGGACACGAGCTGGCTCACACAGGCGTTCTGAGAATGAGCCTTCTGTCCTCCGTGCCCTCCAGACTCTCCACATTCTGGACCAACAGCTTACAGATTCCTATGCTACCGTTAAAGCCAAAGAGAAGTGACAGGAATCTTAGTTCAAGTTAGGGGTCAGACACACTTTACGCTACAACGATCTTCCATGACTAACCATACCGGCGGAAGCACTTATCCCAAAATGACTTCAGAAGATGGAAACTCTAAACATACCTTTTTATTTATTTTTTTATGTAGGCTCCATGCCCAACATGGGGCTTGAACTCATGACCCTGAGATCAGGAGTCCCATGCTCTACTAAGTGAGCCAGCCTGATGCCCCCTAAACATATCCTCTTGATGTCTCTGCATTAGTCAACTACATGAACACTTTTTTACTCTACTGAATTCTTAGAAATTCTATCACACTTCTTACCTAACTTTAGCTCAAGTTATCTGAAGAACAAAATTTTACCTTGAAAATATAATTATAGCAAAATAAAAAAAAACAAAACACCCACCCACTTGTATTTATACAAGTACAGAACCTAGATTCCACAATGATTTTTGGATCATTGTCATAAGGAGGACTTGTCCCTGGTGGTCCTAACTATGAGCCAACGGCAGCAGAGGCGGGCTGTGTGACATGCTTGCTGAGGGCCCAAACCCACTTCTACGGGGTGTGGGTTTTCTTTCCATGACAAGTTTATTTAAAAGGCATGACTCTCTCAATCATTTGAAAGTGGTTTTCAAAGTGGCTGACAGGTCAAGAGCTTCCCAGCGGAGGCGGGAAGTCTAAATAGAGGGTGGAGAGCACGGGGGAGCCCGGTGTAATGACTGACCTGCTTGGCACTTCGTTCAAAGACCACATACTGCTGGCACTGGTCTAGCCGTCTCTTTCTCATGGTCCAGTAATGCAATACCCTGTTCTCCCGCTGGAAGAGTTCATTCAAGATATCTAAGAGAATAAAGACAAAGACATATGTCGCGGCTTGCAACCAGTGAAAACACTTGCAAAATCCCATTCAACGTTCTTTAAAGACTTAATGCAAATGTCAATGCAAGACAGTATTAAATTACAAGCCACACGGCTTGCTCACCCAATGTTCTCAGTGAGCGTGTCCACCAGACCTCAGACCTCTCCTTCTGCTCTTACCCCAATTTGTTGTCTTACGATTGAGGTCACTGGAAACTGAAGACTGGCCTCCAATATCTTTGGTTAGCTGGATGAGTGGGATAAGCTATTGCATCCCCTGCTGGGGCAATCTGACAATGGCTGGAAAAGCTTCAGTATTAAATAATTTGTTCAACAACATTAAAACCTTCCTGTAGAAAGAATTTAGTATAAAGGATCTATGTCATAATGGTGGAGTACTAGAAGAAAACACAGTTTTGTTTTTTCTTTCTTCTTCTTCCTTTTTTTTTTTTTTTTTTTTTTTAACAAAGACAAAAACAAAAACATAAGCCATTAGGAGAAGCAGGGACATGAAGTAGAGAAGCATGGAGCCAGAAAGGCCAAAAACCCTGATTACATAACACTGTAAATGTCATAACCAAACAAAATCCACCATAACAGTACAGCACCAATAAAAAGCTAGTTAAAATTATTGGGAAAATACAAGACACGGACCCCATGTACTTGCTTGTCAACAGGGAAAGATGAACGGTCCATTAGAAAAATGAGCAAAGCATATAAAGATTTTATTTATTTGAGAGAGAGAGAGAGAGAGAGAGAGAGAGAGAGAGTGCTGGGGGGAGGGGCAGAGGGAGAAGCAGACTCCCTGCTGAGCAGGGAGCCCGATGTGGGGCTTGATCCCAGGACCCTGAGATCATGACCTGAGCTGAAGGCAGACGCTTAACTGACTGAGCCACCCCAGTGTCCTGAGCAAAGCATATAAACATGAAGTTCATAATTTCTAAAATATGGCCACTAAATACACAGAAACATGTTTAACCTCACTCAGACAATGAGACCATCTTGCACCCTTTTCCTGGCAAGCCCTGGTGCTGTTCAGTGCTGGCAAGATTGGGGGAGAGGAACATGCAGGGGTGACCCCGTATTACTGAAGGGAGACAGCACCACTCTTGCAGCGGGCGCTCTGGCGACAGGTGGTGACAGGTGACGTCATCGCAAATGTGCATACCTTTGAACCAGCAATTCATCTTTCAGATGTACGGTGCTTATTACACAAGCCACATGTACTCAGGTGCACAAACACTAAGGCACTGTTTGGAAAAACTGGCAGTGACATCTGAGCCCAACTGGGAGACAGGTTAAGTCAACTACGAAATCATTATCCTGGACATTAAAAATGATAGAGCAGATCTTTAAATTGTGATATAGAAAAAGGACTAAGATATACTATTATTATTATTATTATTATTATTATTATTATTATTATTATTTTGAGTAGGCTCGACACCCAGGCCTGGAGCCCAACCTGGGGCTTGAACTCACGACCCTGAGATCAAGACCTGAGCTGAGATCAAGAGTCAGATGCTTAACTGATTGAGCCATCCAGGTGCCCCAAAAAAGGACTAAGATGCATTATTAAGTGAAAGAAGAAAATTGCAGCAAAAAACAGTCCCATTTTGGTAAAAAAATAAAAATGCGGGATGGTGAGAGGAGTGGAATCCATGTGTGTTTTTCTCTATATATTTATGTTCATATTCATAGACATACCCACAAAAAAGTCTTAATGGTGGTGACCACTGGCAAATGAAATAGGAAATTTATATACATTTGTACACTTAATTTTTTTTACAGTAAGTCTGTTTTACTCGAAGTTTATAAAATATACAAGAAACTTTGGAAGAAGATTCTAGAGACAAACTGCAAATCAAATAAATGGTATCTAGATTATAGCTTCATTAATATTGGGAAACCTTAAAAATATTAAATTATCCACAAATATTTCCCAAGGTCCGGGTGGGCTGAGAAACATGAACCTGTGAGCAGGATTTATGTGGCAGTTCAGTGGTCATGCTCCATTATCTCTCCTGAAAAAGTAAACTAATTAGTGACACAAATTAAGACTTTGAAATTTGAAGACAGTCAAAAACTTAAATGAAAGTAATCACATGTGAAAATTAACATGAGCCAACGGGTCTTTTCCAGGCTCTTCTTTCTACAGTCCCTGCCTGGGGCCCGACTGACTTGGGGCAAGGAAGCGGCCAAGCAGAGCGTTGACCGCCCCCGCCCAGACTGGGACGGGAAACCAGCTGGGGCTTCCTCATGTACCTGAAGGACTGTCTGGGGTCCTGGGATGCTGTCTCTTCTGGCACCCTCACCCGTACGTGGATTTGCCGCACTGTCCCACACATAAATCTTTCGTCCCCAAGTACCCAATGAGAGAAACAGGACATTCTGTTTTTAACTGTCCGTAGCACCCAGAATGATGATACACGGCAGCAAGGGCGCCGTGACTACCTAGTGCGTGTGCATGTAGAGCACCCTCTCCTCTCACGCACGCACACACGTGGTACAACCCAGGAAGGATCATAACATCTTTGATCAGAGAAAGCAGAGTACGACCAACAACCAAAGGCAATACTGAAGGATGAGAGAAAGGCAATGATTTTTACATGAAATGAGCCAAATAAACCGATGACCAATGCAAGGAACTTGCTGGCAATGAAGACTTGCTCCTGCTGAGAAATGGCTGTGTTAGTCACTCATTTCCCCAAGAGGGCAGTCCACCAAGTAACAAATACGAAATTTCCTCTGCGGAGCGTGGAGGACTCTACCAGTGCGACAGATCATTTTTCTGTGACACCTCTGACAGGTGAATCCAGATGAACAGGGAGTATAATATACAACGTTTCTGCCAATCATACGGCTTTAAACAGTGAGACGAATCATTTGTTAATGGATTATGGCAACTTTTCCCCTATGAGACCCAACTCTGAGAGCGCAGGCTGTGTGGGGCCCCAGGTTCCTCATCTGTTTACTGCCGGCCCCTGAAGCTCATGGTGAGGATAGCAGGTGCTTCAATGTCAAGACTATTTCAAACTCTTAATCATTTTCTGAGATTATTTCCATTGTAAAGTATTCAATCAGAATTCTAGAGTAAAAACCATCAGTCCTCCTCACTTCTATCCATACCAATCCTATTAACAGTTTAGTATCAAATTTTCCCAGACGAGTTTCCATGCACTTAACATTATATATATGCATACATAAAAACCCATGGCTTTACAGATTTTTACTCTCAAATGATACCAGAATGTATGATATTTGGCAATTTGATTTTATTAATGCTTTAGTATACAAATCTATAATACCTTTCAGCAATGATTTTGGTGTATAATTTCTTAATTTGAACTTTTAAAAATATTTTGACTCTAGATAAATTCTGGTTTTCCTTTTCCCCCAATTTACAGTATTTTCACTTGCTTGAACAAAATAGTCCATACTAATAAATATCATGCTGCATTTTCTCCCTGCTTATACTCTTCAACTTTAGTCAACAAAGTATCAATCTGCATCATTTGCTTCATATTTTATTATTAAAGAAAGATAACTGGCAAGAACTTTAATAATATGAAATGTATATTTAAAATGAAGCCTTGGGTCTCAGGATTTTAGAACACATCCTGCCCAACTCCTTGTACTGCTTGCCAGTAAAATGACTCGTAGCTGTACTCACTTTTCACTTGTTGTTCAGGGGCTTTGATATGGGTCACCATTCCAGGCATGTTCACACTGTTCCTATGCAGGTACTTCAGGAAGACATCTGCATTCCTTCTAGCAAGTGTGCAAGCCTAAGAGAATCATGGAGGGCAAGGTGTTGTTAATGGGACTTCGACAAACATGTATTTTGAGTACGTATGGATGACAACATCATATAGCTCTAACACACATCTTTAACTAAAACATTCGTCGGGCCAACCTGTGGTTTGGAGAATACATAGGTTACATCCTATTTCAATTAAAAAAAAAAATCTGTCTTGGACCTCTTGCTCTGAGGAAGTCAGCTGCCGTGTTGAGTGCCGCCCCACGGAGAGGTGCACAGGGCAAGGGACTGAGAGAGGCCGCTGGCCTGCACAGAGAGGAGGTGGGGCCCTTCTCCTTCCGGGCCCCCAGCCAACAACCTAGCTGCAGCTTTGGGAGAAACCTTGAGTGAGAGCACCCAGCTAAGCTGTGCCCGGATTTCTGGAAAGGGCAGACAATACAGTCCTGTATTGTCTACCTCCCGGTTGCAAGTACTGAACCCAACCACTGTGGAGGAAAGCCACCACGGGCAACATGGAGAGGAGTGAAGAGTGAATGGATTTAGCTCTCGGGGGCTTAGACTGCCAACCCCTGGTTTGAGCCATCAGTCTTGGGGTGGTTTGTTTTGTGGTGTTATTGTGGTAATAGATGACTGATGGATTCCACGTTTATAAACCAAGTAAGTAATTTCATTAATGTATTAAAAAAAAAGAGGGAAAATACACTTAATTATATGTGAGTTGGGAATATCTTATCCATTTCCTGTCTCAGCTCTGGAATTACTCTTTCTTCTAGAAGCTCTGTTTCCGCCTTCTGATACATGGTATTTAGACCACAATCTGGACAAGACACAGGGAGCTCATTATTACTGGTTGGTCACTATTTCCAGGCCTTTGCAGTACATGGAGCTAGGACACTTTTTAATTAAGAGAAGAATGTATCATGAGTCTCCACAGATTATCCTAAAATTGGCTGCACTCCAAACAGTGAGGAAGTGGCCGCAGACAACTGGGGTTATGTCAGGAGGACGTCAGAGCCAACCTGCCTGAAAGGAGCTCCCACGAATGGGACAAGTTGAATATAAAAAGATAAATGACTACAATTGATCAAAACACACCAAATATCTTAAAATCCATGAAGATAGAACAAAAACTAATCCTATGCAGATGTTGCTAGGGCAACAGCTCATTATTCTGAAAATGATAAGCAAACAAGCACTTAGCCTGCCTTTTCTGGACAAACTCTATTTGAGAGTAACCAAATAGCTAAGGAGGGAATAATTCTAGCTAATCAAGGCAGAAGGAATGATAGAATCTCACCATTTTGCAACTCCTAATGAAGCATTATCACCACAGGGTAATCAACCCATTAGATAAAAGGCAGACAGAGAAGCACATAATGGATTAAATGGACTTACCACGTTTGAAGCAATGGTAAACCCTCCTATCACACAGACACAAAGAGAAGCAGACCTTATGTGACTCCTGATGGAATGCCAGGTACGCAGAGTGCCCACGCACACACTCACACTCAAGCCTGAATCCAAGTGAGGCTCTCAACATAACACACTTAGAGAATCCAGGATGGTAAAAAATGACTCCACAGGATGCAATTATGGAAATCCAGAGTGAGAAAAATCCCACAGTATAACTTACTTCTTCAGCTAATAAATAGTAATAAAAGGAGAGTGGTGTTTCGATTAAAAGAGATTTGGAGGGGCTCCTGCGTGGCTCAGTCATTAAGCGTCTGCCTTCTGCTCAGGTCATGATCCCAGGGTCCTGGGATCGAGTCCCACTTCGGGCTCCCTACTCCGTGGGAAGCCTGCTTCTCCCTCTCCCTCTGCCCCTGCTTGTGTTCCCTCTCTATATCTCTGTCAAATAAATAAAATCTTTAAAAAGAGAGAGAGAGATTTAAGAGACATATCAATAAAGTCAATGTGCGGACCTTGTTTGAATTCTGATTAAAACCATATATAAGACAATACGGGTCAGAGAAATTTGAACACTGTTGGATTTTGTATAAAATAAGAGATACTGTTAATTTTCAGGATCCGATAATGGTGTTGTGGGTTATGTTTTAGAAAGGCAGAATTTAATGTTTAAATACATACTGAAGTATTTACAAATAAAATGATGTAATATCTAGAATTTAAAGTAGCCCAGGGAAAGTGGGCATATGCCCATGTGCCGATAACTACTGATGCTGGGTGAGAAGTACATAGGAGTTTGTTACCTGTTCTATTTCTGTACGTATCTTTAAACTTCCATTATGAAAAGTTTAAAGCTATCCAATACACAGACACTACTGAACCCAGCTGAGTGAAGGAATCTGAACAGGCCAGTGAGTATTTTGTTTTATAATTTTATCTAAGTATCTGTCTTATTTACACTAAGTAGTATTCAACTGTTTATTCTAAATGGATTGCAGAGAAAGAGAGGCAAATTATGAGGATCCCAATGGAAACGTCCTCACAGTGGTGGGCATTTCATAATTGTAATAAGCAAGGACACGTAAGCCCAGGGCTTTCAAGTTCCGTTTGAAATGGTTCAACTGGAGGCTGAGGGAGTCACCGCTGTTTTCCCACCCTGATCTGCTACAAAGAAAGTCATGTGATGGAAGCTCAAAATAAATGACCAGATAGAATTTTCAAAGAGTTACAATCTGTTCTCCCAGACTAAACAGTAACTGTCAGACATCACCTTCAGAATGGAAACAGAAATTATTAAATATAACAGGGAATGGGGTCAGAGGGGTCAGAATGCCAAAACAAAACTCAATAAAGTGACAATGAAAAGCACACACCACACCTATTTTTAACAGGTCTGAGTGGCAACAGGCAGAGCCTCAGAAGATTCTTCAAGAGTGAAAGAATGCATCACAGAAACATGGAAATGTTGCCAAATGTTTTGAGCACTTTTTTACATTTGGGTGATTTAGGTATGAACACACACACACACACACACACACACACACGAGACAAAGGCGGCTAGAGAAATTCCTCATTTAAAGCTTCTCAGAGTTCAAACTTCGAGCCGGGCCTAAATGGGATTAAGTCTCTTTTGCAGGAAACACTTCCTGAGTGAGTATTAGTAACTAATCCTATAAACTCCAAGAGGTGTTCCTGCTTTGTGTCTACTCTGCACTGGGTTCAGTATTCCTAAAAAGGCTGAATTTCCAAAGGAAGATTATTTCAAGCTATCGGCATTTCTGTCTCACCAAATCAATCTCTCTCTCTGCTCAGAATCATCTGGTGCTCTGACTTCCACCCATGCTTTATTCACACAGGTTTCCAGCTCTTTGGGAAAACTAGGGAGTGTAAATCACAAATGGAAGATTTTAAGACTTTCTCTGACCAACTAGCCCAGCGCGGATGCAATGTCACACAAAGGGAGAGCTGCAGGTGTGGGGAGGCCCCCCCCCCCCCCCCCGCACCGCCCCGGACCCTGCACGCCTGGTGCCTGGGAACATCTGGGGTTCTCTGATGGGACAGTCTGCACCCTGCCATCTTCAGGTGAACCCTCTTGCATTTGTGTCCCCAGTTCAGGGAGGCACCAGCACCCCAAACGGCTGGCTCCTTACCTTCAGGAATGCTTCCTTTTGCTCCAAGTGCTTGCTGATCATTGGGGTGACGTGGTCCGTCTCTGAGTTGGGGCCCAGCTTGTCGGCTCCTCCACACCAGTCCTCTTCTCTCTTGTACTCCTGCTCCAAGCTCTCGAGGACACTGCAGACCTGTGAGCAGAAGAGTCGCAGGCTAAGAGGGGCCGGTCGGCGACTGACAGCACAGAGCGACATCTCCGGCAAGTGTGGTAGGTCAGGCTCTGGGGATAAAGGTGTTGGCCTCGGGACCAAGACCATCGGAAGGAACCATGGGCTCCGTCTTACGTGAGGACAAATGCAGGGGTCAAAATAGGCAGGCCTTTCAGAACAAGAACCAAATAAAAACGGAATTTCTGGTCTCTCTCTGGTGCGTTTCAGGCTATCCATTTAAATGAGAGGAGAACGGAGGTCCTCTCAGCTCCTTTCCAACCTATTACTCTTTGAGTCCTAAGGTAAGCAACAACCCTTCTACTTCTAGAATGCTTTTCTCTGCCTGGGTTGAAGTGACTGGCTCAGTAATTACTGAGGATTAATGACGGAGTTGTCCAATAACACTGAGCTCAACATAAAAGGCTGGGCAGGAGCCCAAGGCATCGAACCTGCCTCCTCACCTGCTCTGAGGTTTTGTAGAAGGCGACAGATGCATTCACGAGCTTGAGGCGGTCTTCCATCTTGAGCATGAGCTGCTGCCAGTGAGAGGCCACCTTCTCGGCGCAGTCCCGGATCATGTCCATGTCGTAGTGATTGGCCTGCAGCATGGCTTCTGCCTTCTGCTGCACCTGCAGGGCGCTCTGATGTGTCTTCTAAGGAGACAGAAAGGAGAAGGGGAGACTTATCTGACTGGGCGGTCACATGTTTACTGGGAAGGCACTGGGAAGGCTGCCGCAGTGCTGCTCCACCTGCTTTTATAGAAACAACTTCCCCTAATACTCATCAGGACACTCCTACAAACACAGCAGACCGTGCAGTAAGATAAAAAAAGTTTTCATGCCTAGCAACAACCGTGCTTATGCTTAAATTACCTAATGAAGGATGAAATGCATTAAGACATTCCAGAATGGGTCCCACTTGTGGGGTTCTCAGCTTGAGAAATAGCAGGGAAAATTAATAGCCAATATTCTAAAAAAGCTGTTGAAATGTTCCAAGTTTATTCTTCCTATTGGTCCTCCTTGTAATAGCAGCTAGACGCACATGGACACATGGAGAAAAAAGGTGGCCACCGTGAATGCCTTTTTCATTTTTACCTTAAACTTTAGACTTGAGTAAAAAGTTTTCAAGAACTATTGACTTTAAAAAAGAGAGAGAGAGAGAAACATAACTCAAAGCTAGGAATGAGCCAAGTGTATTCTCTGGAGGCTCATGCCATATTAAAATATCAAACTAACACCAGAAATCCAGTAGAATTCCTGCTCGTGTATGTTCACTAGAATAGAAGATCCCATGAGGGGCTGACAGGTCAGGTTCTCCCAATGAAGACTCAGAACACCAGACAGCACAGCAGTTAGGTGGAGTACATGCGTTTCTGTGGACACAGATTTTTTTCTTTTTCTTCTTCTTTTTTTAACCACAGCAAAATTTTGCATTTCACTGAAAAGGCACTAAATGACTCCATAAAAGACTATATGCAGTATAAGCAACCCTACCCTTCACCCAGATACACGGACACGTATTAGGAATTTAATTATTAGAACTCACTAGGCACAGCATACAATTCTCAAAAGATGCCCAGAGTCTGCGCTTCAAGAAGAAGAGTTAATATGTATCTGTTGGCGCTGAGTAGTTGAAAATATGTCAATCTCGAGAATAAATTAACAGTATTTTCTGTGGCTTTCTTCTCTATGTATGTAACTACAGCAGGAAACAAGTTTTCTGCAATCAAATGCTCTTTTTCCCAAGAGTGTACCTTGAGACCACCTACCATAATTAACTCCCCTCTCCCCGCCAAAAACTCCACGAATAATGAATTCGCATGCTGTGAGAGTGAATCTGAGTGGGCTTGGCCCTGGCCTGGCCCCGACCTCGCGAAGGTGAGGAACGTTGCTGTTAACCAGGGTTGGAGGAGTTCCATGGAGAGTGTTATCTACTGGTGATGTGCACCTGGTCTGGCTGCGCCGCCCTCGGTGCTCTGCTCTGTTCAGGAGTGTGTGTGCAAGACCCGCAGAACAGAAAGCCCCTCAGCCCAGACTCCAGCTCGGGTTCTCAGGTGCAGGTGCTCCCGACAGTAGGGGGTGTGTGCCGCCAGGGCCTCACGGCGGGAGGATGGCTCGGCGCTGCGAGGTCCCCAGGCTGGCACACGCCTCCTCCCCTCACTGCAGTCGCCAGCCCGTTTCCTTCCCCTGAAATACACTGGAGATGTATCAGCATCATCACTCTGGGTCCTGCGGAACCCCACCGGGCTCGGGGTCAGTCCCCCATGAGGGGGCTCAGCAGACGTGTCCCGAGGTGGGGGGCAGGCTGGTGTCCCTACCTCGATGGCGTGCTGGAACTGCTCGTGCTCCCTCTGCAGCTGCTCTGCCTCTTGTAACGAGCTGGCCGTGATGAGCCCAGCGTTCAGCATCGACTCTCCGTTGCGGATCCAGCCCAGCACCTGAAACATGACACAGGGAGCTCCAAGCGCCGGCCCTCCGCAGGGGATCCCCCTGCGGGCCACCGGGGACAAGAGCCAAGTGGGCAAGGTGGTCAAGCTGCTCACATCAGCTGTGAAGCATGGGTTTCCTTAGGATCCCATTGCCAACAGCGTGATGTCCTTCCACAGTATCTTATCTTAAGTGCTGCATTTTAAAATTAATTCAGTTATCTTATAGCTTCAAATGGGTGCTGAAAAGGTGGGGAGTCCAGCGGATTGTTATTATTAGTCCACGGATCAAAGCAGTCACCTACTAGATATCTACTGCTCCCAAATAATTCCCTGATAATGGGGCGCCTGGGTGGCTCAGGCAGTTAAGCATCTGCCTTCAGCTCAGGTCATGATCTCAGGGACCTGGGATCGAGCCCCACATCGGGCTTCCTGCTCAGCGGGGAGTCTGCTTCTCCCTCTCCCTCTGCCCCTCCATTCCTGCTTGTGCGTGTGCACGCACTCTCCCTCTCTCTCAAGTAAATAAAATCTTAAAAAAAAAAAACCCAAATAATTCTCTGATAATCAAGAAATGTATTTTTCATTCCTTTTTCCTTAATAAACATGCAAAATTAACAAACTGCCTGGTAAGGGAACTATTTTTTATTTCACCAACATATTTTCCAATTTAATGCCAGTGTTAAACGACCCGCTAACCGAAGAGCGGATTCAGGGCTGTCCCCTGAGATTCTCAAACAAGAGCATTCCAACTGTGGAAGCTGCAGGACTGCGGGCACTTACTTGTGGCACAGACCGCTAGGTACCTACTCAACGCCTACTTCTCCTCATCTCCTTTACTCAGAAAACCTCGACTTTGTTTGTGTGTCGGTGGGGGGTGGATTAAAATAAAACCACATCACCGCCCCCACATCACAGCTCCGTTACAGTTCGGACACTCTCTCCAGCTACCAAGGTCAACGCAGTTGCCTCCGGGCAGTTGTGTGACCACATTTCTTCTCTGATGCAAGTACTGCTTCTTCCCTGTTAGGCTTTTCCCTTCCTGCTGCCTGGCAAGTGGAGGGGGAGCTGGGGCTGCAACAGCCACCTGACAACCCGTCACCCACACAGCTACCTCACCTATCACGTGGCCACCGACTGAGCACCTGCAGCAATCTGCCACGTCCTGACGTGTTCCATAGAGAAAGTAGTTTTTGAGCACCACTTTTAGACTCTTATAGGCAAATGCAATTCCTCATGGATAGTTTATGTTTTTGTTTCTTAGACACGTTGTTTTGTTTTTAGCAAGAAGGAACACTTTATTAACTGGTCTTTAAAAGGCTGGTGACAGTACTTCATCTCATTACACGGGAGACCAACAGGTGCTCTTAAAGCTTCCCAGTTTGACAGTGTACCTGCTTTAATGTGAGCATCACCCACTCAGGCACCACACCTCGCTCCCACTCCAGAGGCACCTTATCCCCTCTGCTCAACCAACACGCTTTTCTGTGCCTCCACCAGAATCCCAAAAAGCCATACTTTCCTTGTATCAGGGCGGTATCATGAGTGGTTTCTCTGCTCGTGAAAAAAAACGTCAGGTACATGCTGAATATATGTATGCATGGAATCCCACTGGCTGTGAGCCGAAAGCAATCCCTCCCAAATGTTCCATTTTTATTTTGCCATGCTGAGATAGGACAGTAGAGCAGGCTGGTCACAGAAGAAAACCCCAGCCCCCTCTAGCCTGTCACCCCATCCAGATTGATAACAACCTATTTGGCAGAACAATCATAGAGTTATTTAGCCTGAGAAGCAATGTGCTCAGTTTCAAGCAAGAGACCACCAATAACAAAACAAGCTAAGTGAATGTTCCTTTCCAGTGATACAGGAAGGGAAGCCTCTTCCCCTACAGAATAAACACACAGCTGTCCAGGCACTGGTTCCATGTTTGCCCACGAGCTGTGGCCGTACCCGGGGCGTGCATGTCACATCATGCCTCACAACAGCTGTGTTCTGTATCCCAGACGACCAGGAGGTCCCTCTTCGGGGGCTTGTCGGGCGGGGCCCCTCCGGTCTGGCTCCACGTCCAGCAGCTTGTTTACCTGTTTCACTTCAGCCTGCAGGTGGCGAAGCTGCACACATTGTTCCAGGTGCTTCCGATGCTGTTCCGCTGCTAAATCCAGCTCCTGCTGCTTTTCATGAAGGAACTCCAACAGGTCCTGGACCCGAGTTGCCATGTCGACATCTCTATCGCAAAGCAGCTCCACACCTGTGGGCAGTGAAGGGAGAGCCCAGAGCTCAACTGGCATGGCCGCCAGCTCTTCAGCCGCGCACCACATACACTGAGCTTTTGTGAAGGACCTGCCCGGCCAGGCCAGGCCGTTATCTTGAAGGCCAAGTGCAAGGAAGGCACAGCGGGCAGAGGAGTGTTACATGTGCTTCCGAGCACGGGAGGGGGCCTGCAGGAATGTATCCGATGTGTTCCAAAGCAAAACATGATGTATGGCTAATCAAACCCATTTCCTGTCAATCTATTTCTGCAGGGATAACTGCGGACACGAGCCCTTGACTTTGTCAGTGAGCGAACTCTGGCTTCTTTTTGCTGTACATCCACTTGCACCCTGTTTACTCTTCAGGAAGCACTGAATTTGACTTGTATAAAACGAGTAACGTAGTAGCAGGTTGTCAAACACCACGGACTTCTCTCTACATTTTTGAGCCCATAGTGACCTCTGCTGGTGAAATATAAACTAAGGAAAAAAATTAAGAATGTGAAAAATTTTTTGAGATTCACATTTCATTCATGGATGTACAACTGGAGATCACGCTCCCTGAGATGACATGCAAGAATATTAAAGGTAAGTACGCTAATCGTATTGTTACTTGTGATCACGGTATGTGAAAATAAAACAGCAAAATGTTCCTTTTGAAGAGCAGGTACCTGAGAACATCTATGTCACGGGGCTAAGTAAACTAGGCAGCCAGCACACACAAATAAACAGGATGAATTCCCGTATGATATGAAACCCCCACAACTGACAGAATGAAATGCACTCCTTACCCGAGGCCTGCACTTCATTGACGTACTGCAAAAGGTCCTGCCCTTGGTGGATGACATCGAAGGTCAAGTTGTTCATGGTCAGAGCTTTGTCTGCATGGTGCTGGAGGCGTTGTTCTGCTATCGTGAGATCTTCCGTGTCAAAGTCGTTCATTTGCTGAGAAAGCTCATCGTTCCAAGACTCAAGGTCTGAGATGATCTAACACAGGAAAGTATCTTCTTAGGACAAGACTTAAAAATAAGTATCTGCTGTGATATCTCACTGTGCCAAGTAGAGAAAGAAGGAACTAATGTGACCATGTCCTAAGGACATGGAAGCCAGCCGTAGGGGCTCCCACAGGCCAAAGATGGGACAGTTAGATACAAAAAATCTATCACAATTAAATAAAATTTACAAAATATATAAAAACATATTAATTCCTAATGAATTTTTTTTTTAAAAAAGAAGAGCTAAAAAGCCTAAAATTAAATGAAAAACTCCTCTAATTAGAAGTTGACAGGAAACCAACCTCTATCCTGAAACTGGTAAAAGAGATAATTATTTAAGCCTATTAACAATGAAGGAAGATTCCCCTTTATAGATAAATCTAGTTATTAAATGTAGAATAAAATTAGAAAGGCTTTTTTTCTCATTCTGTTTTGAAATTCTAGTGAAATAACTCTTCAGCCAATGACCATCAATGTGCAGTAAACTATAATGGAAAGGATGGGGGTACTTAATGGGAGGGTCAGGCTGCCACCTCCTAATCCCACAGACCAACCTTAGCTCCCTAAAGAAGTGGGACCAGACAGGACTAGCTTTCTGACAGGAGAAGCCATGGTCCCTGGGGAGCATCTGGCACAGAAACGGAACCTGAATCTTAATCAGGTCTTTACATCGAACTTTCAAGTTTATAGGAAATACCAGGGAAAGAAAAACAGAAGAAAATCACTAAGCGAACGTAGAATGTGGGACCTAGTTTCTTCCCCTGATGCAGTCATTCCAACAAGTCATGGCAGGATAAAAAAGAAGGGTGGATGAAGAGATGATTCTGGATGGAAAGACTATCAACCAACCGTGAAAGCAGCGCCCACGCGCCTCCCTGCCCCCAGGGCAGCTGCAGGGGTCTGAGAAGAGGCTGGGTGTTAGTTAGAGATCAAGGTGTCCGGTTGGTGAGGGGTGGTAAACTGTGGTTATGTGGGAAAAGGCCTTATTTTGTCGAGATACTTAAAGTCTTCAGGAGGGAAACGGTAAGCTGGCAAAGCTTTGTTCTAACACACTAAGCACAACAATAACAAAAGAAGGGATATTTGCAGCAAGGAAGACACAATCCTGCTACATTTGGGAGACAGGCATGTGGATGTTCACTGTACCATCCTTGCTACTTTGGAGCCAGTTTGAAAACTTTTGTAATCTACTTTTTAAAAATTCAGGCTAAAAATTACGAAATCCAAAAAGAAGGAAAAAACTTCTTGTGAAAGAACACTGTATTATCTATGCTTCAGTGGGATAACCTGTCCCATGAGTCCTGATTTCCTTTTATCCAGATGAGCAGTAACCACCTGAGTTTGAAAATCTGACAATGTGAGAGAGTTTACATAGAACCCAGCTAGGAGATGGGAAGTAATAAAAACTGAAGGCTTCCCCAAACTCCTACGTCAAAAATCTTCTGGATTTTGGGGCGCCTGGGTGGCTCAGTCGTTAAGCGTCTGCCTTCAGCTCAGGTCGTGATCCCAGGGTCCTGGGATCGAGCCCCACATCAGGCTCCCTGCTCAGCCGGAAGCCTGCTTCTCCCTCTCCCACTCCCCCTGCTTGTGTTCCCTCTCTCGCTGTGTCTCTCTCTGTCAAATAAATAAATAAAATCTTTAAAAAAAAAAAATCTTCTGGATTTATTCTTTCATTAGTGGGGTCTGCATGCAGTATGTGTATTTACACTAATTTATTAAATTGGGCTAATTTATAAAATTAATGAATTTGAACAATGTTAAATTACACGTAAGCCAAAAAGCCACTGAGGAAAACTATTTTTAAAAAGGAAAGAGCTTACCATACCTTTAAGCTTTATCTCTACCCTAAGGGTAAATTTCTTTCTTAACGTTCCTTTTCTAACACTGAGGCAGGAGAGGGTTAGGTGTGGTGGTGAGATACAGACTCAGCAATGCTGTCTCTTGGAGACAGCATCAGGCTCAGACAACACTCAAGAGCGGACAATAAACAAAGATGAACGTGCTAGAACCAGCAGGATTCAAAAATACTCACTGAGCTTATGGCCATGATCAAAGGATCATCAGGAAAAATCCTGCCCAAAGTTTATCATTACAGCTTGTTAACCATACAAGTGAAGACAAGAAATCAGTGGCAAAAACAAAGCTCAAGAAAGGGGAAGTAATTTTTGAACACGAATTCTTTGGAGAAGTAACTTTGTTTTTAACTGTATCCCAGAATGTTTAGAAATTCTAAAAGTTCCTCTTCCTAAATGTACATATAACTGTGTTCCGTAAGTAACTATCGCAGGATGCTACAGTAATGACTTCACTGTTTTTAGATCAACAGAGCAGATTTTACCTGGAATATCAAGAGGCTGAGACTGCAATATGTCTAAGCCATAGAAAACCCAGATCCACTTTTGAGAGATGGAAAGGCTATGAAATACAAGAGATAGGAGAGATTTTTAAAAACTGGCCAAGGAACAGATAAGTTTCTCCCACAAAGATAACTCCATGCCTCCTATGGGCGGTCGGATGGAGCATTTTCCCAGGTAAGGGATGACATCCCAGCCGAGGCCTCAACTGCTAAGGTTTCTATGTTTCAGGATCATTCCAGAGAAAAGAGGTTCTTAGGCTACGACATTCTAAAAGCTTTTAAACTACATTTTAGCTGGCCTGTGACTGAACTGCAGGTTTAATTTCCTCAGCTGGGGAAAGCACTACGCCTGGCCGGGCACACAGTTTTTATTAAAGGCCACTTGGAATTTTGTGGCTTTGGTGTGGGAAAATTATGTTTCTGGTGTCTGAGCTACATTTTAAAACACTAGTTTGTTGAAAATGGAAATACAATTAGAATTTTTTTCCTTTAAGTAGCAGCAATACAAATGAAGCCAAGAGATTTTTTTTAAATATCAAAATGTGTTGATGAAAAAACTTCAAGTAATGCCTGATTGCTCTGTGTTTTCTAATTGAAACTACTCAATAGCAGCTAAGTTTATCAAAGCAATTCATACGAAGTAGAGGTCACAGAGGAAAAGAGGCATGCTGGGTCTTCTGTTCATATAGTCTGCAACCTGGAACTGGCACACCACGCCCAGGCCCCGGGCAGGTCCTTAATGAGCTCGAGCACAGCAGGCTGTTTCTCTACATGGCTTCATGGGGCTGTAAAGGTCAAGACACTGAGAGCAGATTTTACCAGACAACATGGGTGAGATTTAACTCCTTTCTTGTCATAAACCAATGATGACAATGAAAACAGCCAAGAAGGCCTTTCTTCAATGAAAACACTGATGGAGATTTAGACAGATGGCCGACCAGAGACCCCCCCCCCCATGAGAGGCCCAGTACTGGGCCTGGCCTGGTCCCTGTACCATACGGCAAGACCACCACTCAGAGCTGGGCCTACAGACAGGCCCGAGAGAAGCAGGCAAGGCCCACTTCAGGCAGCTGCTCCCCTGAGCAGAGAGATGTGAAGCAGTCTACACAAAGCCCGGCCACCCCTCTGCCTTCAGTGGCACGAAGGGTCTGGGTGTGCACGTCCTCAAGGCACTAGCATGGGGAGGGCACGCCCTACAGATTCTGCTCGGCAGTCAAAGGACCACCTGGCGGGCTGCTGGTACCCGGACAGGCACTTGGTCACTCCAGCAGCTGTATGAAGCTGACAGGCACCAGGAAACTGGCCTTCTCCTGGCTGAAGTGAGTTCTGGTTCCTTTCATCATGTTCCACAGGCAGATCCAGCACCATCCAATTATACTTACTTCTGCTTGTACTTCAAGTTCAAAAATAAGATCTTCCCTGACACAGAATTAAGAACCACCCTTTTGTTGAAGAAAAAGAAAAGAAACCTCATATATAAGGTGTAACAACTTTTAGGTAAGAAGAATGAAAGATCATCCGAGGACCCTTCTGTGGAGAAAAAAATTGGACTTCACATTACCAAACATGCCATCAGCCCAGGTGAGGCTTATTCTCACCGTCTGGGGAGGAGGGTGGGAGGGGAGAAAGACAGGCAGCGGGGCGGGAGGGGGGAGACAGAAGGGAAAGACAGAAAGAGAAGGGATCACGGTCGCAGGTGTGAGCCTCTGCTGCATAGACAAGGGTGTGCGTCGTGGGACCCAGTGCGGGCTGAGACAAGCCCACTTGTTCGAGGCGGCTGGACTTCAGCTCCGCGCACCGGCTGTGCTCTACCCTGCTGTGTGGTGTGGCCTCCAGCACAAGCCCTGCAGCTCCCAGGGCAAGGCGCACTCCTCCCTCTCCCTGTCCTCCTGTTAAGGCAGCCAGAGCGAGACGATGCGGGAATGGCAGGAGGCGGAGGACACTCACATCGATGGCGTCCCGCTCGAATATGCGCAGCTGCAGGAAGAGCTCCAGCTTGATCTTGCGCTCCTGGAAGAGCTCCTCCATCTGGGCCTGGGCCTCGTCCAGCTGCTGCAGCACCGTCTCGATGTGGCTGATGGAGCTGTTGTGGGGGGTCTTATTGCTGGAGATGGCCGAGTCTCTGCGGAAGGGCAGAAGGGGACGGGGACAGGCATGAGAAAGTCTCCCACTGTCTGACACCAGATCCGGCCGGCCGCACAGACTTCAGGGGGAAGAGAGCTGGCAGGAAGCGGGGCCGCTGGTCTCAGAAAATGGAATCAGCAGCCCCTCCCGCCACACAACCCTGGGCTTCCTCCTCCGAGCAGGCTGCCAGGTTTGAGGCCACACTGAAGACTCTGCTCCGCACCTCCCACGGTCGTCGCTCTCAAAAGAAGTCTATTACAGAAAGTAACGTCAGCGGAGCTCAACTTTAGCCACTCTTCTCCTTAAGTAGAGGGAACAGAATAGACGATACCTGTTTGCTACACATGGTAGAGTCAGAGTGGTGACAAAGGGTTAAACTCTAATGCCACCAATTTAGCCTTTAACAAGTCACTTTTGCCTGACTCTTGGCAAAGTGAGCATCCCGTGAAGTTACCAGTCATGACTGAAAAACAGTCCTCTGAGTGATCCAGTAACATGAATCTGCTCCCAGGCCCAGCAGGGCCTCCTGCCTTCCTGTGCGGAGGGGAACCTGAGGGACAGGGACCCCCCTCCCCCAAGGCCGGGCCTCCCCGAGCCCCAGTGCTGAGGACCGGGACGCCCACCATCCTCTAGAAAGGCACATCACTCAGGACCTGAAGGACACAGTCCTCGGAGATTTAAATCAATCTGGTCTGTAAAGAAATTTCAATGAGTATTCAGTAAGCGTTAAGAGGAAATATTACTAAAAGCTGAGCTCTGGGAACGTTTAATAGTCAATGCTGCCATGAGAGAAATCGTCGCAGGAAAGAGAAAGAAAGGGATGTTATTCTCTGTTGTATGCAGAGATGTTATTTGTTCTCTACCTAGCTGGGCAGGGAATTACAGCCCATTGTTCAGAAGTGTGAGCTCAGGGAAGGGGAAATCACTGGCAGGACTGCAAAATGCCCGTGCCCCGCGGGAGGCCAGGGACACGGCCCACCTCAGCTGCTGGATGAGGTCCTCGCCTTCCTTGATCACGTTGACGGTCACTTGCAGGGTCGTCTGCTGCTGCTGGCCAAAGCGCTTGATGAGGTCTTGCACAGCCTCCACCGACTCGGCGTACACGTCATCCAGCAGCTCCTTCTGTAGCTCCTCCAGCCATGTCCACAGCTGGGGAAGGAGAGAGTGCGGTGAGGCCAGGCCCCCGGCCCCCCTCCCCCTGGGAAGTTCCCCTCCCCCGGAAGTCCTGGTGCGGACACCGAGTGACACGAGTGGCCACACCGGGAGGGAGCTGGCAGCAGCCTGCTCCCAGGGGGGTAGGGGGTGGGAGGGGGAGCCCCCTGAGCAGGCCCAGGCAGCGGAACACACGGAACACGCACACAGAAAAAGCAGCGTGCAACCACCGCGCGGCGAAAAATAAACAGAGAGCTCAAGGGGACTGGCACAAAAGAGAAAAGAGGAAAGGGAAGGGAAGTCACTCTTTCCGATTCTTCCTAGGCTCAATCCTAGTGGAAGAGAAAGAAGAAAAGACCCCCTCCACCAACCAAAACATCTGCTAAGCATAACGCACTCCTTTACACATCCTCTGACTCTCGTTTAGCAGATGGATGGTTTTATTTTACTTTTAGCAAGGGCACTACAACCCATTATTAATTATTAAACCACTGCTCAGATGTGGCCGCTGTCCACAGCTCCGAAAAGGAGGCAGCGTATGATATGGTGGGATAAATTCACCACCTTGCCTGGCGGGAGAGTCGGATGCGGCACCGCTCAGTGACGTCGCCCACCCCGGGCCACGGCCCGCCTGGCCACAGCCGACCCGGCCACGGCGCAGTCCTCCAGGGGAGGAAGGAGTGTGCATCCTGAAAACACTTCCGACTGCCACTGTACAACCACTCAAGATGTGTCTGGGGACGTGGACAGGTAAGGACCACTTGGAACGACAGCGTCAAGAACGACCTCAGGTGCGGCGGGAGCAGAGTGCTTCACCCGCTTGAGGCAAGCCCGCTGCCTCCCTCCACGTCTCTGGGGAGCCATTCAGCAAAGTGGGAAAGATGACTAATGACCCCAAGCGGGGCCCTGGTGGCTCGGAAGTGGTCTGTGCGGGAGAAAAGGCTTCCTGCTTCCTCAGGGATGTGAGAACCCCCCTCCCCCATTTCTTCCAAGCGCCCTACGGACAGCACCTCTGCCCCAACGCCGACCTTGCCAAAATAAAGGCTGTATTGGGTTTTTTGTTTCTGAGCTCATCTTCGTTTGAAAACTGCTTTACTGAGGTATAACTGACATACAGTCAACTGCATGAATTTCCAGGATAAAGTCTGTGAAGTTTGACGCATCCAGGAAAACTCCCCTGCTGTCCGCCGTGAACAGCTCCATCACCCCAAAAGTCTTCTTGTGCCCTCCATAATCCTTCTGTCTCCCCTGCCCTCCCTCCCCAGCATCTGCTACAGATCGGCTTGCATTTTCTTGAAAAAGTACATAAATGGAACCATATCCTAGGAACTCTATTTTTGGTCTGGTTTCCTTCCTTCAACATAATTATTTTGAGATTCATCCATACTATTGTGTGTATCAACCAAATGCTGGGACCGAGCTACTGGCAAAGCCGGTACTGGCAAAGAGCCCTTTAGATCCGGCCACACTTTGTGTTGATGTTGTCGGTCAACACCAAAAGCACCATTCTTTGACTCGCCATATAAATATGGACTAATGCTCTGCACCATCTATAAGGTTCCATAATCAAGGACATACTTGTTTGCTTTCCTCTAAATCCTCATGAACATGGTTGCTGCCTTTGTAAATAACAGGAAGGATGACAGCATCATGACCATGAGGAATCTCCCAATTTGCTCTGATAATTTCCTAGGAAAAACCTTCCAAGTTCTACAGGTCATGTGGTATAGCAGGAGTACTGTGGATTTAGGAGATGCTTTAACAAAGCACTGACTCTGTGACCTAAGAGATCACTGAGTTTCTCCGAGACTCGGTTCGCTACAACAGGGGCCTTCGGACCAACACCGGCCTCAAGAAGTCGCTCCGAGGGCCGGGAGGCAGAGGCGGCAGGAGGGCACCGGGGCATCAGCAGTGCTCTGAACAAATTTAATTCCCAAAGCAGAATGACCTACTCTAATGAACTCAAGAGGCAAGACGCGCTAAAAGAAACCAAGAACATGCCAGTGAGCAGTAACAATGTTACCAACACATTTTATCGCATCAAAATATTTATCCCGGGTGCCTGGGTGGCTCAGTCGGTTAAGCGACTGCCTTCGGCTCAGGTCATGATCCTGGAGTCCCGGGATCGAGTCCCACATCGGGCTCCCTGCTCGGCGGGGAGTCTGCTTCTCTCTCTGACCCTCCCCCCTCTCATGTACTCGCTCTCTCTCATTCTCTCTCTCAAATAAATAAATAAAATCTTTAAAAAAAAAAAAAATTTATCCCAAAACATCCAGGGTACGTTATCTAATAGGTAGGCTTTTACAGCTGAAATGGTTTTACCAGCTTCCTGGTAACCTGCCTCCCACTTGCTCCCCACAGAGCAAAGCCCCCTCAGACACACGTGGCCGCTGCAGCCCCCCCGTCAGATTCCCGTCCGGAGACAAACACTATGAAAGGTGGACCTGTTCAATTACACTCATTCCAGTGTAAAAGAAAATTAAAAACAAAAACCAAAACACTTGCGTCCCTTCCTTTCAAAATCCCAACTGTCGTCTTCCGCCTTCCTACGCGTGCTGCACAGAAGCTGCTCCTACCTCGTCGCAGTGTGAGGAGACCCAGGGAAGGAGGTCCCCACAGCACACCTACGGCTCACACGGAGGAACGGACACAGAGGCCCCGCCCATCCCACAGCTGGGTCCGGAGAAAGAGTGCCGCTCATTCAGCAGAGCAAACGCACACGCAAATGCACGTCCAGAACGGACCACTCTCTTTCACCATCATCTAGGCAGAAGCAGCACTGATGGGAAGGAGGGTGAAGGAGCCAGGTCCACCCCAAATGCTGACTCTGCATCACGGACGGGAGTGTGGGACTCATCAGAGAACGAGCAGGCCCACGCAGGGCTGGAGCCAATGGGGAACCCTGGTCTGAGTTACACTACACTAGTAAGAGCTAGGTTCTCCCAACAGAGACTAGTATCTCTTCTTTCAAATTTGTGGAGAAAACAGGAACACACAATTTTTTTTAAGACCGCCAGAAAAACGCTACAATATCAGCAAAATATAACAACATGAATTAAGACCGCTGGTAGAGAACCTGCATGTGCTGGACAAGACACATCTAGCATACAGGTGGCCCAAGCCTCCTCCCCGCCCCTGCTCACACAGCTGGGTCAGGCCTCCCCAGGGTCATCAGCCTGCCAGGCCCCTCCAGGAGCCCTGGCCCAGCACCTTTCTTGCACCAGGTGCCCTAGACGCCACGGTGGACCCAAGGGGTGTCTGCGTCCCTGCCTGGTGGTTGGCACAGCCTCCGCCCCCGACTCAGCTGCGAGGCCCAACTCACAACCCGGCTTGTGGGACAGGATGGAGGACGGGGGACAAAATTCCTCTTCTCCAGCAAATACCACCAAAAATACATAATTTAGATTATGAAACCATGTTAACGAGCCTTGCTTCTCTACACTGTGAGGAGGAGGAGGAGATCAAAACCAGTGCTTGGAACTGCCCTGAGGCACAAGGCCTAAGTGCATCTATGTAGCTCCACTGCAACAGCCTAAGACTTAAGAGTTTATCCACAAATGATAATTAAAATAACACACCTCTCCTAAGAGCTAATATGGAGTAACAGTTAAGAGTGCGGGCTCTGAAGCTAGACTGACTTAACATCCTGGGCTGTGGCCTTAGGCAAGTTACTTGGCCGGTCCACGACTCAGGCCCCTCTTCTCTAAGATGGGCCTAGTAATAGCAGTCACAGTAACAGTGCCTCCCTCCCTCCGGGAGCTGCTGCGAAGAGTAACTGGGATGGTACGTGCACAGCGAAGAAACAAGTAAATGTGAGCCATTAGTACTAGTTTTGTTCTTGTGAAGAAACGTGTCTAGTAAGAAAAACCACAGAACTTTAGGTCTTTCTCTAGGTATTTTTCAAAACATAACCAGGTTCCCACTTATTGTTCAAAATATGTCACTGAGTCTGGTAGACTTAACACCATCCCACGTTTAAATCTTTTTACACCTAAAAATAGTATGAGGAAAAGGTGCTAGAATGAGTGCACCGGAGTCCATAGAAATCACTTCCCCTTGGTTGCAGGGGAAATGCCATGAGGATCTGTGGGTCAAACTTTTTCCTTTCCTCAACATCCTGGACACTTGGACGTGCATCCCCGGTGGAATGTGCTCAGGGGCCCGGCCAGCTGTGGAACTGGTGAACGGCCACGGCCACAGAGGAAACCACAGAAATGGATCTTCGGCTCCGGCAGTTGGAAAGGGAACAGTAAATGAGGTAGAAGGAGCAAGGTTATATTTAAATCTATAATGTCAAATGCTCCCAAATCTTTTGCCCCTCTAGAATTTTTTTCCCCTGCCTCTACAGAAAATATTCTCATTCAATTTGGAGAGAAAAGGATTCTCAGATAAAGGTCTTCTGATTTCGGTGATGAACTAATATATATCATAATGCAGTATAATTCAGGTAAAATCTATTTTTAAGCTTTTAAATTAGTATATGATGCTTAAAATAACCTTTGAATAAAAGAATAAGAAAAAGTCTCTAGGATACCTGTGAAATTTCTAAAACCCAGCGCTTCTGTGCATGCTGTTAATTTCCAATCAAGAGCTACATCTTTGCGGACAGCCCGACAGCCGAGAGGAGCTACATTCTACCCAGGTTCTCAGCCTCGTGGATCTTCCTGTGAGAACTGTGGCCCATGGCCAGAGTTAGGCAATGCTGCCCCCTAGAGGCCCCCTGGGCGGCCACCAGCAGCATTCCAAGGACGAGCACTCGAACGCAGCGGGTGTCTCCGACCTGGTTCTTGTACCACAATCCATTCACAGAGAAGGCTGGGCTAGGGAGACACACGAAGTTCTGGGGAGAGAACTCCCATGACAAAGATGTGAGAGCCCTGGTCCTGGATCCAGTGGTGTCCGGCCAGGTCTGACCCAGGCTCACCTCCACTCCGGCCCCCTCCCTCTCCCCTCTGTGCTGGGTGGAGCCTAAAGGAGGAGACTGCAACTCTGCTGGG